TAATTTTGATCTGAAATACCTTCCTCCTTTGCTTTATGCTTATTTTGTCTTTACAGTATGCTGACTATTGTTTGGAACAAGACAGAGTAATTCTATTAACCATTAAAGGAGCAGGCATCATGTAATAAGTAGGAGCTTGCATCAACATAAATTGATTTGGTAGTCCAACACTCCTTTAATATCCCATGTAACCAGTGTAATGGATATAAGTTTTGCCCTTCATTCATAACAGAATTCACTCTGCTCCTTTTATTGTATTAAATTCTTCCTTCCTGATTTCAGTGTTCAAATGAATGCACACACAAATCAGGGGAATATTTAAAGTGGATAATTTCAAGGGATTTTTAAAAATACAATACATTTTGTTTTGGTATTTTCATATTTATGAGAAGGCAGGATGTAACATAAAAATATGTCTACTTGTATAGTATCTTTGATTACAAACCAGATATTTTCAGCAAGCTTTCTGGATATAAATAATAGGAAAATCTAAAAGATCACCTATTAAGATGGGTGTTTGTAAGAGAGCAATCCAGAGATTGGCATCTTAAATGCAGGTGTTTAGAATGGGTTTATTTAATTTTTTTCCTAGCATTCTCTATCATTGGGATAAATATTTCTTAGTTATTTTAAACTACGATCCCATGAATCCCAATAAAAGTGCTCCTGAAAACATTTATATTTCTCTTACACAGCTTTTCACAAAGACATTGAATGAAGCCCAGTCAAATACTACTGCTTAGGTATTGAACTTTAAAATCCTGAATTCCAATTCCAAAGTCACGGACAGAAAACATTCAGGGATAAGAGAAAAATACCAAATATAATATTGTCTTATGCTTCAAATTGGGTGGAATAGCTTACCTATATCAAACTATCACTACAGAAGAGATGTGACTAGATATAGTAAAATGGCCAGATGTTTAAAGGCTTCAAATTAATGAGATGAAAAATATAATTGCAATCAATTTGCTAAAGCACAAAGAATATAATTGCCAGGCATTCCCCTTGTGTCACTAATACTCTATGTCAGACCTGGAAGCCATCTTTTGAATTGGAAAAGAGTTTCAAAGAATAAGATATCAAGGAGGTTTCAATAACTGGAGAAAAGAATTGTCATTATCTTTTTTAGGAAGCTCATAGTCTAAGATATAATTTTATCATATAACCAGAATATATATCAATTTATTTTGCAATGTAAAAAGTAGGTATTTTATGAAAATATTGCATAAAGTATAAATATAAGTAGATTACTGATATTAATTAAAAAGATTGAATTTCTAGATAAATGTAAACTAGTACTAATATCAGTATATAAAATAACTATAGAAACCACAACAGATTCTCCAGGGAGCTGCTCCCCATTAGATATAAAAATATCCAAAAGTATTAAAAAAACTAAAAGAGGTTCATTTCCTTGCTAAAAGTATTCCCAGGCTGAACAATAGACTTAAATTAATTTAATATCCCTAACAAATGTTAGGACAAAAAAATTAAAATTACTTCTGGAATTATGTCATAGGCTTCAACAATATTTTAAGTTAAAATATATATAAATTACGTTCTATCTTTTATCAGCAAAAGCATGGAAATTTCTCATGGTCTCTCAGGGGGAAAAGATTATCTGAAACTCGCTTGTAAGGAACAAGATCTGTGTCTAGAAACATTTATGGAAAAGAGGAATTAAACTAAAATTGTTTAGATAGATTGGGGTTTATTTAACTAAAGGTATGATTTTTGTCACCCCTTTGAAAGGAGTTGGGTTAAATTATTCTTTTACAGATGAACTATAATAATTTATGCTTGTAGGTTTTTATTCATTAACCAAAAAAAGTGTTACAGATAAAAACCCTACGTTATTCGGTCGCAAAACAAAAAGACTCGCTTTAAAAGGGGCAAGAAATCTCTTTTCGCTCTTTTCTTCCTTTATAGTTTATAGTTTATAGTTTATTTGATTTGTAAAGAATGATTATCCGATGGCGACGGACGTCGGGTTTCCCCAGGTAGGGAGGAGGACAAAAGCTTTTGTGCTGAAGCCGAGCACCGGCGGTTGCAATCCAGAGCCGGGCTTCCCGTCGTCTTCACTCTCGCCGGTGCAGGGAGTCACAATGGCTTTCGTGCCAAAGACAATGCGCTCGTTCTCCGAGACGCTTCTGCAACCCAGTCGCCCGTGACCGCAGCAGAGGTGGCCCGGATCGTTCGCTCCACACGGGCTCTGGAAAGGCCTCCCCGCCCTGGCCAGCCAGGTCTCCAGGCGCTCGGGCTTCCTCGATTGCGACTGTCCTCCTAGTCCCCAGCGGCCTTTGGCTCTCTCCAATGTGAAGTCTCTCTTTTTTTAAAAATTTGATTTATATGCCGCCCTTCTCCGGAGACTCAGGGCGGCTTACAATGCGTTAAGCAATAGCCTTCATACTTTTGTATATTTTTATACAAAGTCAGCTTATTGCCCCCACAAACTGGGTCCTCAATTTACCTACCTTAGAAAGGATGGAAGGCTGAGTCAACCTTGAGCCTGGCGAGATTCGATCTTACTTTAATTGCAGACAGCTGGTGTTAAATTACAGTGCTTAGTCTGTTGAGCTATCCAGGCTCCTCTTTTAGACGGGCGGCCTTAAAAAAAGCCCCTTATTGCAGGAATCTTCCTGGCATCTGCTCCTGAAGTGCAATCGGACTGAGGGTTGTAGACCCCCGAGAAGAATCAGCCGAAAGCCCTTAAAAGCCTTGGATTTGGGCACCGCTGCCCGGAGATATCCAAAGGTTTCTGTCTGCCAAGCTGGGTCAACTTTCAACGGCTGGTCTTGTTTGAGTCCCAACCTTGAAGGAGGGTCGGCCTCTTTGGAGGGGCGGGGCGGGGAGAGAGAGAGAGAGTGTAGAGAAATGCGGGACCGGTCTGCCTTAAAAATCGCTGTAGAAAAAGGAAGCCGTCTTTCCTGCCTGCTATCATGGGGTGCGGTGGCATAATGCGACCTTCCTGCTTATTGCATCTACTGAACCTCTGGATTTGCTCAAGGCCTTGCTCGAACCATTAAAAAACATTACACACACTAGATTCGCACCCCACTCCAAGTACCGACGATGACGATAAATAATTAAAAATAAAAATAACTGGCTTATGCCAATCAAGTTCAACATATTCTGCCAGTAAGGCTGCTAAATCTTTCCCGGGCTGGGTTAAGCCTGCTGTGGGAATGCAGTGCCACCCAGGAGGCATCGACTGCTCAGCTTCATCCAGCGTGGCTGCCTCACCAAAGAAGTGGAAGATTTCTTGGTCCATTAATTCGACCAACCAACGGAGCAATGCCTTCCGAGAAAGCGATCGCGCCATCTCCCACAGCAGCCATGCAGAACTGGGGGGGGAGGCTTAACCGAAAAACAACGCCCCCCTGATTATCAGGCCCTCCCCACCGCCACAGCCCCACCGCTTCTTCCGTCAATGGCTTCGGATGCGGTACCACACTGCTGCCTTTCCATCAGCAAACCCTTCTCTGTCGCGCCCGTCCGCTCCTCGCCCGAGTCCGATCTTTTCAGAAACTGCTCGTCGAAACATCTCGGCCCCCAAGTGCCAGCAAGCGCTCAGCGACTTCCCAGCAAGATCGGCCGGCTCTATTTGCAGCAAGAATCCTTTACTCACCTCGGATGCTCGGCTCTTCTCCCAGCGCTCGGCGTTCCTACTCAGCCGCCCGACGCTCCAAGTCCTGGAAGAAGGGCTTCGTGGCTCCGAGCGGAATGACAGGATTGATGGAAATCCTGCTCGTGGGTGCCCGATGATCCGTGCCCCCTTGTTCGCAGCTGGGAAGGGAGACCACCGAGCAACTTTGCATCTGCCAGCACCCCCAGTGCCAAAATGCTCCCTTCATCTCAGCCTTCCTCCAGAGAGCAAACGAAGCCTTGCTCATCCACCGCCTGTCCTTCTCGAGTCCCACCTTAACCGACCCAGCTGTGGGGGCTTCTGGATCGACTAAGCTGGAAATAGAGGACCCAAGAAGGCCCATGGGGAAGGGAAGCCCAGCCGGGCAGCTCTGTTTCCTGGAGAGGAAGGGCTACTGCCCCAGCTGCCTGATGCAGAGAACCACAGAAACGATCCTGGAGTAGTTGTAAATATGCAGAGACGTTAGAGAAACAAAAGCAGATTTAAGCCCCGGAAATAGAAATTGGTTTCACACTAATTCACTGGGGTATCAGAGGTAGGAAAGGCAAACGCAGTCGAGTTTTCATGATTCTGTTACTATCATCTACTGCTCTATAGTTCTAGTCAAACTTGCGCAGACCGTTTCCTGTCTTGGTCTACCTCGCAGGGCTGACACCCGGAATGCTTAGAGGCAAGAGAAGTTGAATCTTCCTGTATCCTAAGGCACCTCCGGCGAATTCCTCTTTGGCTCAGGGAGAACTCTCGCTTTGTGAACTTGAAGAAATCCCGATCCCCTTGATTAATCTACTACACAAAATGTGATCTGCTTCTCACTCCCTAGAGCAGTGTTTCTCAACCTTGGAAGCTTGAAGATGGGTGGACTTCAACTCCCAATATCCCCCAGCCAGCGCTGCTGGCTGGGGGATTATGGGAGTTGAAGTCCACCCATCTTCAAGCTACCAAGGTTGAGAAACACTGCCCTAGAGCGATCCTCGGTTGGTTTCCAACTTCGCCCTAGCTCTTCCCTTGGCTTTTCCTTCGACAGCGACCTATGGTGGGCCTCGTTGCGGTTCCAATGAAAGTGAGAAGACCCGTCTGTTAATAGCTGATCCTATCCAGCCGGCACTCCTCGTGTTCTCCGCTATTTTTTGGGAAGACGGCGGACTCGACTTTTCCCATCCCATCATCCCTCTAAGATAGGGGGCCGTCCGTCGCCGAGGAAAAGCTGCGATGATTGTTTTGCATCCGTCCGGAGGGCTGCGTCCACCTAAGGGATCGGGGGTATGGCTTTAAAGGCTCTCCGTGCGGTCCCGGATGGCCTCCGGCTGAATCGAACAGGAGCGCTTTTCCAGGGAAGCCTTTTCGCAGCCGGGCTGCTCTCATCCTGCAGAGGAGTCGACACGAGATTGCTCGGTTTTGCCCCACAAACCACGGAAGGTCGGCTTAGACTAGAGGATAGTCCGGGTGCAGGAAGGCACCGAGTGGTGCCAACCCGTGTCGGAAACTTCCTCCGCTTCCTCGATCGCTCAGTGGGAATCACCTGCGCTAGATGGGAAACGGCAGGTCCGGAGGGTGTATGTGTGGGGGTGAGCAGAGGACTGCCTGCAGGGGGAGGAGTTTGCGGGCGTTGGGCGGGGCCAGCCCCAGCCCTCCTTTCCACCCACCTGTGTCTGCTGTAGTCCGGACCTCTCGACGGCGAAAACAGCGGCAGCGGCAGCCCAAGCGAGAGAAGAGGCGTCGTTGAGGGGCCCGTCCAGTTCAGCTGGCCTGCAGCCCACCTTCCTGGCGATGGAGCCCCCTACTTTAGCCAGTGGGGACCCCTCCGAGACCGCCCGCCTGGTGGGCAGCCAAAGCGGCCGCAGCTCCAGTAGTCTTCGCCTGAAGAGGTGAGGCAGCAGCCCTTCCCCTTCTGCCCCCCGATTCTCCTCCCCCGCTATGCCCCCACCTCCTCCTGCCGACTCCTGCCCTGCCAGAGAGCCCTGGACTCCGCGGGGACCCATCGGAGCCAAGCCCCTGATCGTTAGGCAGGCCCGGAGTTCTCTGAAGGACGTTCCGTTTCCTTCTTGTTTGGAGGGTCATGATTTCCAACAAGCGGCCGGTTAGCGAAGCCTGGCTTCCTCCTGTCCCCCTCCCGCCCCGTGCGTGCATCACCCCCACTCTGAGCCCCCCTCCTCTCTTCCAGCCTCTACGGTGCGGTTGGTCCCCTCCGCTTTTTTTTTTTTTTTTTGCTTTAATTTGTATGCCGCCCTTCTGCGGAGACTCAGGGCGGCTTACAATACGTTAAGCAATAGCCTTCATACTTTTGTATATTTATACAAAGTCAGCTTATTGCCCCCACAATCTGGGTCCTCATTTCACCTACCTTAGAAAGGATGGAAGGCTGAGTCAACCTTTTCCTCGACGGCTAAAGACAACTTTGCTCCCCAGAGCTTTTTCCTCTCTTGCCGCGGCGGCTGACTTCCCCCCACCCCCACCCTCTCCACTTGCTTTCTTTCCTCTCCTCCTCTGAGATCCCTGCAGCCCTCCGAAGCCAGGAGGTGCTTTTCGATTCCTGCTGATCCAATCCACCCCCGCCTCCTCCCTTGATGGCTTCCTACTTGTGGGATGCAGGGGAAGGGAGCGTCATTTCATTACAGGTGGGAGAAGAACTGGTCCAGGCAGTGAGAAGGGAAGAGATCAAGGGAAGAGGGCTTTGGAGATGAAGGCAGCTTTGGGTGGATGTTTTGGTCTGCAGCTTGCGTTTCCATTTATTTATTCATTTATTTATTTATTTATTGGTTCGATTTATATGCTGCCCTTCTCTGGAGACTCAGGGCGGCTTACAATGCATTAAGCAATAGCCTTCATACTTTTGTATATACCCGCTTAGTAGGGCTTTCGAACCCCCATAAGCAGTTATATAATATACATATACATATACATATACATATACATATACATATACATATATATATATATATATATATATATATATATATATATACACACAAAGTCAGCTTATTGCCTTCACAATTCGGGTCCTCATTTTACCTACCTTGAAAGGATGGAAGGCTGAGTCAACCTTGAGCCTTTCCCCTCCTGCCTGCCTTTTCTCTGCTTCTTAATGTGCCCCTGGAAAGGCAGGGGCAAAATAAATCTGCTCCTAGTGTGGGGTCAAGAAGCTCCAAGGGGCTTTTTCTTGCAGTTGCTGCAGTAATGCCCCCTCATTCTTCCTGCCATGGCTGCTGCACCAAAAGCAGTTGATTATTGCTCAGTGGAACCAGCAGTGGGGTGGGTGGAAGGAAGGAATGGATTCTCCCTGCCCCTCTGCCGTCACTTCAGTGGACAAGACCCCCTTTCAAAAAAAAACTCACCTAAGATTTTGGCAGGCACAGCTCCAGAACTGAGCTGCTGACTAAGCTGGGGTGAGGGTGGGGGAGGAAAGGAGGAATCCTGTTTGCATGCTGCTCAGTACAGAAGAGGAACCACTGACTAGCTGGACCAGCTGAAATGACCCATTTTCTGAATCACACAATACTAGAAGCATAAAGGGGCTATAGAGCCTGTAGTACAGTGGACTAAAGCACTGTTATTAACAGATTAACATCTGCTGCTTGCAATTACTGCAAGTTCAAATCTCACCAGGCTCAAGGTTGACTCAGCCTTCCATCCTTTCAAAGGTAGGTGAAATGAGGACCCAGATTGTGGGAGCAATAAGCTGACTTTGTATAAATATACAAAAGTATGAAGGCTATTGCTTAACGCATTGTAAGCCGTCCTGAGTCTCCGGAGAAGGGCGGCATATAAATTAAAGCAAAAAAAAATAATAATTGCATAATACACTAAAACTGCACAAAACAAAAACAAAAGCAACATTAACATCAAGTTTAAAGTAACCAAGCTCCATAGGTTGCACAAATGCAGTCATTCTCTTTTAATTCAATCTGCTTCGGCTACTGTAAACACAGACCTTCAGTGTAACTACTTTGGAATGGAAGGCCACCTGGAAAGGCTTGCAGGGATAAATTTGGGGAGGAGGTTAGTGAGTTGGACCCTTACTTGTTATCCCTTCTTTTGCTGTTCTGGTTGCTCCTTTGGCAGGCAGGGTGGCTGCTTAGCTTTCTACCCATCTGCCTCCATATTTCTGTTGGATGCCAGGCACAGCTGAGCAGTGGGCTGATAAAGTCTGCTCTTTGGGGCTGTCACTGTTTCCCTTCTGCCTTCTTTTGTTGCTTGCATATGAGGAGGGGGCAGGCACTTGAACCCAACAACAACTTTCATCCTTTCTTCAGATTTGCCGGGCCTAGTCAGAGAAAAAAGCTCTGAAGGTCATTGGGGTCAATTGTCCTGGAAGGACAGGACCATCTTCTTTTTTTTTTTAAATTTGATTTATATGCCGCCCTTCTCCGGAGACTCAGGGTGGCTTACAATGCGTTAAGCAATAGCCTTCATACTTTTGTATATTTATACGAAGTCAGCTTATTGCCCCAACAAACTGGGTCCTCAATTTACCTACCTTAGAAAGGATGGAAGGCTGAGTCAACCTTGAGCCTTGGAGAGATTCAAACTTACTTTAATTGCAGACATCTGGTGTTAAAGTACAGTGCTTAGTCTGCAGAGCTATCCAGGCTTTCTTCCATCTCCTCAGTGAATCTCATTTGGAGGCAGAAAAATGGACTGTGGCTCAGGCTAAGGACGTAAATTGTGTAGGCCACATCACACACATGGACATTTTCTGTTTTCAGGGTGTTCTGAGGAAAACTCTATGGATTTCTAAATCCTTGAATAGCTAATGCCATTTTTGTAACTTCCTGCCTCAAAGTAGGGGCAAGTTGAATGGTTGGTTTTCAACAATAATGACTACAGGGAGCCACAAAAAAGGAAGCTCTACAAAATATGAAGGTAATGGTTTGTACACTGAACTACCAGCTATCCAACCCCTTTAGGGGAGACAGCCACAATGATTCCACGATATAAAATTCATTATTTTCCCATTGTTATAAGCTATGCAGAACATATGAATTATAGTTGGAAAGAACCCATTAGGAACCTAGGATTTCCTGCAAAAAATGACTTTCTGCCGTCTTTTCCCTCTTCCAATTGTACTAAAATCCCAGACTGGATGTGCTCCCTTCTACTGGGGGAAAATGTTGAATATTTTCTATCCCTTATGGATGTCTTGAGCCACTGACATAATTGCAACAGAATGTGACCAATTTGCAAGCCACGGCCTTTAATTAGATGCTGAGAAGTTATGCTTCACAGCTCTCATCCCGATTAATGCATAGGGCCAATTGGATAATTAGAGTCTAGGCACATTGGAGATGTTGGGGGGGGGGGTTTGAAAAAACTTTTTTTTTAAAACAACAATGTCTACAAGTGTAGCTCCCCTTGATTATCACCTCAAATAATATTTTTTCTTTCCCTCCCCCATACACAATCATATGAATTTTTCACAGGTCATGCTTAACCTAATCAGGCAACTTCAAGGGCTACATTTAATTACTTCTAACCTTGGTTAATTTGTTGTTAAAACTCCCTGGGCATTATTTATTTATTTATTTATCAGATTTATATGCCGCCCTTCTCCCGTAGGACTCGGGGCGGCTCACAACAATAAAACAATCCGACAATAGATAAAGATTAAATAATATTAAAAACCAATTTAAAATCCCCAAATCCCCAAGTTAAAATCCATGGCAGATCAGGGAAGTTGCTGAAAGAGCCATGTCTTTAGGTTGGCGCGGAAGGTGCGGAGGTCGGGGGCCGTCCGGAGCCCAGTGGGCAACCCATTCCAGAGGGTTGGTGCGACCACAGAGAACGCCCTCATCCTGGGGACCGCCAGCCGACACTGTGTGGCTGAGGGGACCCGGAGGAGGGCAGCCCTATGTGAGCACACTGGGCGGTGGGAGGCCGGTAGGAGGTGATCCTGCAAATACCCCGGGCCCATACCATGAAGGGCTTTATAGGTGAGTACCAGCACCTTGAAGCAGATCCAGAGGACCACCGGCAACCAGTGCAGCTCGCACAATAGTGGTGTTATATGGGAGTAGCGGGACGCACCCGTAACTACTCACGCGTTCACTAAATTGTGAACTCAGCCAACTGAGCTCAGTTATGGTCCAATATATGAGGCTGTCCCCAAAAATAAATTAATTCAGGAACAGATTAATTGGTGCATTTCTTTATTTGAATTTATTATGTCCAGGAAGCTATGAGGAAAAACTAAACGATGGATTTGGAAGTAACCCGAATCAGGCCTTTTAAACTGTTCTGGTGCTTTGAAGGGAATGGAATTTTGATATCTTAGGCACTATGTACTTCTACTACTTTTTGGCCTCAGACACACAACCAACAATGGAATTCATCTACTGTATGCGTGTATGTGAACCCTAAATTAGCGAATTTTAAGTTTAAATTTAAGCGGAACTTAAAAATAAATGACCGCTGTCATGCACAAAACTAACCAAAACTAATCCTATTAAACCCTATCCTATTTAGTTTAATATGCTGATGCAGCTGATGCCAGGTCTTTAGCTGGCCTTAGAGAAACAGGAGGGCCTCGCTAGTTACCCGCCAGTTATTCATTTTTTGGAGCGGTCTCGCAGAGTTGAGCAACGAACCAGGACCGGGAGGGGAAGGGGTTCATCTTTTAACTTCAGCTGGTATGCACTGAAACCGGTGATGGAGCTTTTCCAGTCCCCAAGCCAGGCTTCTTCTGCCCATTGGATGTTCAGCTTCGATGCAAAAGAAGCTCTCTTGCGCAGGAGGACGGAGCGCAACTGGGCTAACCTGCCACTGAGATTTCTGAGCATTTGTGAGAGCGAGGATAGGATTTGAACCTGGACTTCCAGCTCCCTTCACTAGGCCACTCTGCCTGCGAATGCAGGGCCTGGGCCCTGCTGGACCCATGAAAACTTCCGAGCCCAAGTTGCGAAGCCTGAGGGAACAAAAGGGACGATCTTGCTCCAGGGTTACTCGGGGAGGAGGCCTCTTCCGAAGTATAATTATGTGAAATAATCCGAGGGAATGGGATCAATTAAAAAAAAAACTATTAAGATCAAATGACAAGATTCATTTCAGTATTTCTCCACAGATTCCCTGCTATTGGACCATGACAATGAGGGGCAAGAGGTGAAGGAAAAAATGTGCCTGTTGAAGGGCAAGAAGCCCCCAGCAACCAATACAAGCAGGACAGTTTTGGTCTTTGTTGCTGATCTGTGTCCCAGCTCCCTTTAAAGCAAGGGTCTCCAAACTTGGCAACTTTAAGATTTGTGGACTTCAACTCCCAGAATTCCCCAACCAGCCATGGGGAGTTGAAGTTCACAAGTTGAAATCCACAAGTTGAAATCCACATGCTGGCTATGGAATTCTGGGAGTTGAAGTCCACAAGTCTTAAAGTTCCCAAGTTTGGGGACCCCTGCTTTAAAGTGTATGTGTACAGCATGTGCTTCCATGTTAGTGTTGACTCCTAGTGACTGCCTGGATTAGTCCCTGCAGTTTTCTTGGAACATTTTCTGAAGTTGTTTGCCATTGCCTGCTTGAAAGTGATCAGCTCAAAATCACCCATTTGGCTTTGTGCCCAAGCACTGGATCTAGCCTGGGCCCTTAACCTCTACAAACTGGTTCTCTCCCTCTAAAGTCCTGGGCAAACAAATCCTAGCAGATACTATGCCTTGAGTCTAATTTTTTAAGTTGTTTAAACAACGGAGAAAATGCTCCTTTAATTTGTTCCAGCCAAAGATTACTGTCTCACTGAGGAGAAAAGAAAGCAAAGTTATGGGGACAGGGCAAAAAGAAAAAGGAAAAAAATTGCATACTAAGCATATTTTCATCCTTCTCAATGCAAGTAAAGGAGTTGGAGCTAATCCAAAGCCTACCCTAAGAGTCAACAAGAAGAAAGTGGGGAGGGGTGGGAGAAGTGCCCAAACTAACATTAACTGAATCAGGTCCACCTAAGCCTGATTCGTGGCCATAGAAAGTCCTGGGCAGAAGACAGTCTCTACTGACATGATGCAAATATGCTGTTGGAGCTCATCCAAAACCTATCTGAGCTACACATCTTCTAATTCTTGATTTCTAAGTGACACACCTGAAATGTAGTGAATCTTCTGACTGCATAGGTATTATGAGATGGGATCCCTCAGATGTTACCCCTAAGTACAGGAGCATGTGAGTTGCAGTTCCTTACTCAGGTTGCCTAGAACTTCCTGTGGCATGAAAGTGATTGGATAGAGTAGACAGAGGAATGCAAAATGTGTGGTTTCTGATAAGGATTGGCTTGAGTCCTTCCATGCCTTCTTGACTGCGCAGGTGGCCTGCTGGTGAAGCATGTCCAGCTGAGAGTTCTGCTGGAGGCTTGCTTGCATCTGCTCCTGAGTCAAACAAACTATCTTTAAAAGAGCCCTTGCCATGTGCAGCTGCCATGGCAAAACCTCATGAGATGTATTAGGGATTTTCATCTCTTGTTGGGGCACAGAACTTGAGTTGGCTCAAAATTGATAGAAGATGCTCAGTGCTTACTGAGCCATCCCTTGCTATTAATTATCCATCTGGGTGACTGAAATGTATTATTAGCATCTGTTTTCACTGGCTGAGTGCTTATGAAAGACGCTGCCAAGTTCCAAATAAATATAGGGTGGTGAATATCAGAGCTGAGTTACACTTGTGTTATATCACTGTTTCTGCAGGGATCGGGCCAAAATCATTCCATGTTATCCAGCATTCTGCCTCCTGCAGTGGTTGGGCTAATATCTCCAAGAGACTCACAAATAGGGCAGGAAGTCAAGAACCATTCCTCACCTTTGTTTCTTGCAAGCAACTCAAAACCAAGGGCAAATTTGCTGTGCTCAGAAACCAGTTCAGTAAAGATCTAAGATGCAAGCACACATTTCATAAATATTAATAGTATTTATTTTTTGTTGTAGATTAGTATAGTGATCAAACGTAATCCATTTGGTTAGTTTAAATTTCAATATATTGTGTGAACTCACCAAATTGAATTAACTGAGAAGTAGGGATTAGCAAATTGCAATCATTACCATAACAGGTTTGTTTTAACTGTCACAATGAGTTTTAGACTGCATTAAAAATATGTTGTTGATAGACTCCTCCTTGGTCACTCCACTGCCAAAGATGGATGGTCAGGAAGGTCAGTCTCAGTAAATTTGTTTCTGGTGTGCATCCATCTCCTTCCTAATTGTTTCAATTTGCTTGGTACCTTAACTAGGGCAGTTCAAGATCTAATATAGTTTGTAGAACATTATAACTTATAAATTTGTTGTATATGTATCTGTGGATGGAGGGAGGAAGGAAAGGGGGTAGTATGTTATTCAAACCTTTTAGCTAGTTTATTTCATGTATTATACAATCTCATGAAATAAGTTAATTCTATCAACAGGTCAGCCTGTGCAGCCTGTGCTCATTTGTTTATGGTTTGTTCTTGGTTTTAATTGACACAGCTATTTCTCCATAAAACCAAAATGTGAACATGTATCTTTACTGCTCTCACCAGAATCCAGTGGGCTGCACCTTCATGATTTCTGCTCAAGCCTTTATCATATTTTCCTTGCTATTTTTCTATTCTTGCTGGATATTGGATTAACACCATTGCAACATTGGAGGGGGCAGGAATTGATGTGGACTGCTGGCATCAGGGTTCCTTGGTGCTCTTTGAGCTTGCTTGTTTTCTTCCAGACGTTTCATGTCAACCCTCAGCTACAAATATTCTCCTTTATTAGTACTTCTGGCATCTGACCCAGATGGAAGGTTCTTCTGATGGCCCAATCTTTTTTCAGTTTGTTTGCAGGTTCTCAAGATGTCTTTCCCAACCTGCCCTCAGAAAATGGCCATGCAAATATATCCATGGTGGGACTCAAGATGGAGCCATGTGTGGTCCCCCACTGTCATCTTATGCCATGCTCCACCACTCAAAGTCAACAGAAACGTCAGGCTCAGCGGAAACTCAGCATTGCCTGTCTGGTCTGCTTTCTCTTCATGGTTGGAGAAGTTATAGGTCAGTTTTGTCAAAATATATAATAGATCTGCCCTATTTATTAATTTATTAATCATCTGCATTCATCTAAACACACTTAACCTGGTTGTTTAATTAACTCCTTTTCTGGATTCATCCAACTCATTAAACCATAAACTGACTAAAAGGCTTCTGTCTGTATAACATATGAAGTGATATACAATAAAACATTATTATCTTATCATTAACCAGTTTAACAATTTATGCACATATTTATGCTAGGTTTTAATTGCTCTGTCTCCATCTATGCTTTTAAAATCCCCAGGGGTCTGTCTGTTTGCTTTCCAGGTGGATACCTGGCACATAGCCTGGCCATCATGACAGATGCAGCCCACCTGTTGACAGATATGGGCAGCATGGGTGTCAGCCTCTTTTCACTCTGGGTCTCTACTCGCCCAGCCACCAAAACCATGAGCTTCGGCTGGCACCGCTCAGGTAGGTTCTTTCAATAGCTGACCAATGAAAACATTCCTATAGTATCTCACTTCCCAACATTCAAACAGGTTACAACCCATCTCTGACATTAGCAGAAAGCTGAAGCATGTTTTTTACACTGGAAGCTAGAGTCCTTCTCCACAAATTGACACACAATCTAGAATAATTTGTTTAGATTTAACCAGAGTCATGGAGAGATGGTTGCATTAATAAGCAGCTACACATGGCTTTCAACACATGTCCTGAGAATTAAGGTTACAATTTTGTCTGAAGAAATTAGAGAGAACATTAGAATAACTGAATTGGCCTTTTACAGGAAATGGATGGAATGTACATTTCTAGAAAACTCTAAAAGATTTGTTCTTGAAAAGTCCTTAGACAACATGACATTTGTCCCTGATTTCATTTGTGCTACATCTGAAGGCTATTCACACCAACCTGTGCCTGTTTTCCATTGACAAAATGAATGAATGCTGAAAGATAATCCTTCTGATCTTGTGGTATAAGATTTTCCTCTGATCAGAGTCTTTTTTTAAGATTGGTATTGGTTTGGGACAGAATATTTGCTCTATTCCTTCCTTCTCATGATAGCCTGTGCTAAGGTAACTCCATCTTATCTATTGAAGTTAATAGTCTAGCATATATTTACATTTATTTGTTTTACTTCCTTGAACAATAATAGAAATCCATTTGAAACATACTTTTGGTGAGTACTGCCCTCCCATGTGTGGGGTCTGAGATTATTGTCCCCTTCTTAAAAAATACATGTCAATACAGTGTCTCAATATATGCAATTATGACTTCTCTGTGAATGCTTTTTTCCCTATTGTCCCCTCTGCTTTTCTCTGTTTTCTGACAAAATAATTACATCAATTAAAATAAAAAACAGCATTTGAACATACTGTGAGACATCTTCAAAACATGTTTGTGTGAAAGGCTAGAAGGAATGAATTTCTTCTCCCTTTTGAACCATTGCAAAGTAGTGTGAGGGCAAAACGCATAGAAAAAAACTAGAGCTATGTGCACTGTGATTAAGGTCTCTGGAGATATTATAGGACCTACAGCATATTATAATTGCTGAATTTGTATGTGGCAATACTTCTTACAATGTTTTAAAGTTTGGGGTTCTCTCCCCTAGCCTAAGGCTTGGGTTTAGCATTTAAGTGCTTATCTGAATGCTGCATGCAGAGAACTCCAAGAGGGAAGGGAGTAAGGAAGCAGAATGGCTGACTGAAAATAAAAGAAGATTTATGTACCTGTTTACTTTTTAGATCTTTGATGACAATCAGAAGGTTTCTTTGGATTTGCAGGGGACTTGTGGAGTCTCTTTTGATGCAGAGAATCAGGTGCAAAACTAAAGAAGAATATCCTTCAGTATCCATTTTCAGGGCTGCCTATTTTGAAGATTTGATCTGGTATCTGTGAGGTGTACTTGTCCATTGCCTAAGACTTCCCTACAGTTTGCTTTTCCGTCCCTTCCTTCAACTTTACTCTGGGTACTCTGATGGCAGTTAGAAGAACTTCTAGGAATGGATAGGCATATCATCTTTGATGAGGAAAGGGAGGAAGGCAAGAAATTAATTATCAGAGCTGCTGAATTCCTTTGATCTGCTCATAAGATCATTACCATCAGTTACCCTACAGTTTGGTTATTTGTAATTAAGTAATTATTACTTTGTTTTTGTTTACAATTGTATAAATTACTTATTGAGAACCAGTTGGTTAAGACATCAGGTTAAAAACAGGAAACTGTGAGTTGTAGCCTTGCCTCAGGAACAAAATGTCAATGGATATTCTCATTCTGGTCATGGTTGTTCCAAAAGTGCCTTTTTCCCCCAAATGACAACTGGACTTTCTTGTTTTTTCCTTTGAAAACTTTCGCTTCTCATCCCAATAAGCTTCTTTAGTTCTGAAGAGACAAAAGCTCACAGCTAAGGAAGGAGGCAATTGCAAACCATTTCTTAAAAACCTTGCCACATAAACTGCCGGGACTTTTCCAGGTAATCTCCAAGAATCAGTCATGATTGAACAGAAGAAGGGAAAAGGCTTACCTACTGTATAAGCTGCTTGAGAGACTTGTTATCCTGAAAGGCAGGATTTAAAATTAATAAATTTAAGTTGAAGAAAAGTGATTTCTATTTTATTTCACATCAACTTTATAGGCTGAAGAAAATCGATGGGCTCAATTTCACCCAATTAGATTTATAATAAATGTTATTTCTCCGCTATTCCCCACTGTTGTGTCAGTACAAAACAATGACATCATAAATTTGGCTTCCTCACCAATCCATTTTCTATTTCTATTTCTATTATCTCTATTTCTATTTGTCAAATTTATCAAACCACCCATCTCAGAGAGTGACTCTATTATGGCAATAGAGTAAATTCTGAAATATGCTGCCCAATTGTGGGAGTGTGTCTATTATAGGCCCTCAGAATTATTTTCTCCTCAGATTTTTATTGTTCCTTTTTGGCACATCATCTACTAACTCATGTTAGGCATGGATAGGGTAGATCTGGTGTCACTGTGCCCTATTGCAGTTTGGGGACTCTGTAGTGGCTTCTCTAAAATTACTAATAACTACTTCTTTGAGTTATTGCAAGTATATAGTTATATCAGTGATAGTATCTAGATAACTTATTTTCTCTTGGTTTGTTTTTTCTTATTGCCTTTGATTTTTCCAACTATCAGGATTTTCTCCAGTATGAGAAAGTCTTTTCACATTGTGTTATCTGTTTCAACATTAACTTTCTTAATCTGTATCCAGCATTCAGTCTGATTTTACTTCCTGTGGTATTGAATGATGTGTTCTTGCTACTCAAAGTATTCCCAATCAATTTTTACAACTTTCATAGCCATATCACTGGAGAGCTATGGGCTTGATAATGCAAACTTGTTATCTCTTCACATTAATATTTTGCCTAAACTTGTCTTTTTCCCAAGGAGGTTACAGTATATCTCTTGATTTCATGGCTATAGTCACCATCTCTGTACATTTTTGAGCCTAGGAAAATAATATGCTATTACTTCAGCTTCTTCTCTATTTTCAGTGTGTTAGCATTGCCTCTTGACAAAACCTTAGGGGTTTCTTATATTGAGCATCGAGACAGCTTTTGCATTTCTTTTTTTCATCTTTAACAAGAGATTTAAGAAGAGATGTCTTCCTCACTTCAAGACCTCAAGGTATCATTAACATTTCTAACACTGTTGATGTTTCTCCCAAAAATTTGAATTTCAATTTCTATTGCAACTGGTCCAGCATTTGGCATGATATATTCTGCATTAAAATTAAATAAAGTCTAGTACTTCGTACACTCCTTTCTCCATTATTCCAATATTGAATAATTTACTTGCACCTTATTCTATTTTAATTGTTATTGCCTAATCATCAAATAAATTCTGAAATAGCCAAGTGAGATGACTGAATATATCTATATTTTTAAAATCTATATATACATTTTGTTATGAACTGGGCAGTTAAAAACCTGAATATAATAAAAATGCCAAAATGGTTATCTTTTTGGAGCTCCTTTGCCTTTTTTGCTATCTATCAGTTATTATCCGTGTAAATTCAAGTATCCCTGCCTCTTCTGAATTATACATCTGGCAGTTCTCGTTCCATATATTGTTGAAACTCAGATTTCAAATCTTGAACATTACCTAATAAATGCAATTGTTCACTAAATACAACTGCTTAGAGAATGTAAGATTAAACAGGAAATCACAACACAAGGCTGTTTAAATCTTCAACTATGGGTAGTAATGAAATGAGAGGTCATTTTTATACTTGTGATTATACTGGTAGCATCACCCAGCCATTGTAGAAATTATATAAAGCCTGTCTACTTCACTGTTATTTTGGCATTGAGACTAGGTGACACTAAAATATAATGCAAAATTAATGATCTATAAGGAGAGCATGGCAATTGTCAGGGCACTATAAAACATTTCTAAATGCAAGTAGGGAAAGGGCCACTGTGAAAATTTAAACTAGCCTGTAGCTTCTCCCCAAATTTTCTCCAAATAATTTTGAACAGAGCCAAGATGAGATCTAGGTTTTGCCCTTTTGGTGTGCAATTAATGCCAGTCTAATGCTAGTCTGCATTACTATTCCCCGAGCAGCTTACAGAAAGATCAGGAGGAAAATTGTCAAGATAGTTAGGGAACCTGAACAGCAGCTTTCTTTTTTCTCACAGAAACCCTGGGTGCCTTGGCTTCTGTCTTCTCTATCTGGATCGTTACAGGAGTGCTGGTCTACTTAGCTTCAGCCCGCATAATTAGCAACGACTATGAGATTGAAGCTTCTGTGATGCTGGGCACTTCAGCCTGTGCAGTGGGAGTGAACATCATGTAAGGATTACTAGGATGGGGAAAATATTTGAATATTAACTCTGAGGAGGTAATTTTAATTATCAGGTAGAGTGTCTATGTGGGACCGATTAAGCAAGCTAACTTCTATTGCAAGCTGTCAGCCATATACTTCCACTGATCGCATGTTGAAGGGGTCTGTTATGAGCAGACAGGTCCTGTTTGTGGCCATAAGAAATTTGTTCTACTTCTCTTTAAGATGCCACTGTATTTGAGGGGTTTTGTTGATATTTTCAGAATTATTTGGCTGGTTTGATTGAAAATAAACTTCTACTTCAGGCGGTCTTTTGATCTGATTTTGCTAGAATCCACTTCCCTTTACTGGTCATCTTTACAAAATGACTTTTCCCAAAGCTGTTGCTTTTTAATCTTTCAAGATGCTGGAGATTATGTGGAAACCATTGCTGATCCTATCAGGCAGGATTCTACCTAGCCTGTCTGTCTTCCTGTAGAGCAATTCAAATAAAATATGTGCATATTTGAAAGATTTCCTATTTTGCTTGGTTGCCGTAAAAGCACTGATTAGGAGATGCCCTTAACGATCTATACTATAGCTGCTATATTTTGGCTATGATTATTTTGTAATTAAAGTATATCACCTCTATGAATATGATATATATGCTAGTCCAGTTGTCGGTACCGATTGGTGAAGGAATAGAAACTATGGGTAGAAGAAGGTTTGCTGTGATGGATGGGATTTTTATAATTGTTTGGTGAGAAATAGAGACAAAGATGATTTTAGTTACCACTCTCGAAATTCTCCACAGCATGGCCTACCTTCTGCATCAGTCAGGCTCTGCACACAGTCATGGATTCAGCACAAGAGACTATGAACAGATTGAGGACAGCCCTCGTGGCCCCTCCATTCCCACCCATGACAACACCAGTGTCCGAGCAGCTTTTGTACATGTGGTGGGGGACCTACTTCAAAGCATTGGGGTCTTTGTTGCTGCCACTGTCATCTATTTCAAGGTATGAAGGATCAGGGTATGATACTTATTTAATACAATACGTCGTTTCTCTTGTTCTCTAAATGAAGACCTCCCTTATGAGCATTTCCCTCCATTACTTCTACTTTCCCCCCAGCCTAAGGCAGTAGTTGTGCAGAAAAGTAGATGTGGAATCCCAGCACAACTAAAGTCACCAAGGAGTTAAATATTGTGAATAAACAACTGATGGAAGAAGTAGCTCTTCCTCACACATTGCAAAAGAAATTATGGTTAGGCCAGATATCTTTGCCCTAATGGTGGGTCTGATTGGGAGATCAAGCTTGGGGAAACAAGGTGCAGGTGTCTGATTGTTAGAACAAGACACATTTTTCTTCCAAAACTTACCTCCATTTCATTTGCTGTACATGCAAATGTTCAGTGGAAGAGATACTAAGTTCCTATTCAGACTTTTTGGGAGAAGATGGACCCAGAAACTTCTAGAATTATATTCATTGACATATAACGGCAATACTTTCTCTGTGTGTGTAGAAAACACTTTTGGAATTTTAAAGTACTCCCACAAAATGTGCATCCATGATTGGCTGGCCAGTAACAGAATATCAAATTGCAGAAAAGAAATCTAGAAGAAAACAAGCTTACCAATGAATTTAATGATGGAGGTGTGTTTAAAGAGAGCAAAATATTTTTAACCAGAATTAAAATAACCATAAAACAAAATTTAAATATAGCATAGAAAACCAGGTTACCTTCAGAGGAATTGTCTGTGTTAAGTTTAGGCCTACTGTATTCTATCTGGGCTACCAGTCCATCAGAATGGCAGCTATTTAATGGTCATATGAGTTTTTATAGCTCAGATATAACAATGTTAACAAGGATCAAAATATATAAACATTCTACTGAGAACCTTGGCTATAAAAAAAGTGGGATTGTGTGACTACTTGTCCTTTTCCTTTGCAAAACCAACTCAGGGTGCGAGAATTGGGAATTAAGTACCAGGATGCTTCATACTATCTGCCATTCCCTCTCCTTTTTTGCAGCCCCAATGTAAGATTGCTGACCCAGTGAGTACTTTCCTCTTCTCAGTCTTTGTGCTGGGCTCCACTTTAACCATCCTTCGTGATGTCTTTCGAGTACTGATGGAAGGTAAGTTGTCTTTCACAGCTGCAAGGGGGCTACATTACAGGGGGACGGACATTGTTAAAATAATTCTACAATGATTCTTGCAGATAATCTGTTTTATTATAGGAAGTTATTAATTAACAATGGTTTATGTATAATTAACAGTGTAAGTGGATGGTATACGTGCATTTAAAGCTATGGGCAATGATGGCAAGAGCAAAGGAATTTTCCTTTGTACATTGTACACAAGTACATTGAGGAAGAAAATAATGACACAAATTTCTTTAGTTATGTATATCATAAGGTGAAGAAATGAGAAACCACCAGAGGGTCTGCTCATAAATTGGCCTTTAGATATCTTGCCTCAAATGTTTAGATATCTTGCCTCAAGTGGCAAATGTTTAGAAATAAACTGTTATTTTGAAATAAGAAAATAACCTAGACAGAGTCTGTGTTGATCAAAGTAATAAGATGAAATTATCTTGATGATGATGGTGATCAACTACCTACAGTTAGTTACCATACGATAAGTGGGATAATTTCCAGTGGGATGTATAACAAAACATTGCATCTGTGCTACACACAGTCCAATTGAAATGCTCCACTTTAGAGCTCTTGGCAATTAGCCCTACCTACTGCAAGATATTATAGACTGCAAAAAAAACCAAACTGGCAGTCTATTCCTGCTTCCTGTTTTTTTAATTTTCCACCTGGCATTTGACATTCTGAGGTGCCAAAGGATAGTCAGTCCTTGCTGTGCTGTTCTTTAGTTGATTTATCCATTTAAATATTGCTGGAGATTGTCAGTCATCCAGGTCATAGTTGTTTCAAAGGTGCTTTTTCAAAAGTCAACTGGACTGTTTTTTTCCTTGAGGAAGAAGAACAAAATGTTTTGTTTCTCATCCAAAAAACATCAATTGTGATGGCAGTGGGGGCAGGAATAGAAAGACAGATACTGACAGTTGAGACTGCCCATTTAAATAAAAAATCCTTTATCCTTCTGCAAATCTTGAAGTTTCTCAAGGGCTCCTCTTATCTTACATTTGTCCTGATTTGGCTCAAATCCTGTTTACACTTACCACTCATGTTTGCACTTAGATGGCATTGATTTGATTGATTGGTTAGGTGCCATCAAGTCAGTGTCGACTCTTAGCAACCACATAGATAGTTTTCTCCATAATGATCTGTCCCTAGCCTGATTTTTCAGGTTTTCCAGTGGTACATCCATAACTGAGTCCATCTGGATTGCAGATGGCATGATTACAGCTAAAAATTCTGAAAGCATTATGCAATTTATTGGAAATGGCCAAGACGCCATATCAGGGTAAGGGAGGCTCACATATGTCTTGGGGTTTTTTTTTTTAATAAAAAGTTTTTTATTAAACAAACAAACAATACATCATTAATCATTCAGTGTGTCATCTGGGTACATATTTTGTGTCCTCTACTTCCTCCTCCATCATTTTCTTACTATATTTCTATCATACCTTTAAAAAAAACAACTAAACATATGGGTTTCAAGGAAACACTAAGAGTCTGACTATTAGCCATGGCTTTTTTCAAACTGCAGTAACAAACCAAGAATTGTATAATGGCTTTTAGATTAGTAACAGCATCAATGTGTCTCTGTTCAGGAACAGTGTTTTTAGATAAAAGGACCATCACAGATGATGATACCCTACTGGAATGCTTTCCCAACATATACTTATGATTACCACAGTTAGAATATGCAAGCTGTTTATGGGAGCTCTGTTAAAATGTGTATAAGCCACAATTTTTTAAATACGGGCAATAGCATACCTGAGGCTTGTTATGCTATCCAAACCTATGCAGCCAGCATTAGTTCATGGAAACTAGAATTTGAAACAAAGATTTCTAATATCCACAATTCAGCAATGCTGGATGCTCAGTGTCTCAGGTAACTACCGGTACTTGTCTTTGATAAAAGAGCCACATAGAACCAGGTGTGTGTTTTAGATAGTATCATTCACACACTCATTAATCATTTATTCAGTTTTAATCATTCACACACTCATTAATGTGAAACCAACCTAAGTTGGACTTACTCAACAAATTTTGACTAAAGCAAAGCTCTGTGCAACTTGTATATATAGAAAGTGGTTAGGTTCTCCATTGTGGGGGGTGGGCAGAACTGGAAAGTGATTTTTCTGATCAAGGCAAAAAAATAAAATGATGTACCAAGTATACTAGTCCTCTCAAATTTCAGTACAAAAATAACTGTGTTTTCTCAAGACTGGTTTTGGAATAATATCTCCGTGCTGAGCTGCACAGTTGGTGACACAGGGGTGGGTTCTACTTACCTTTACTACCAGTTCGCAACGGGAGCGTGCTTCACTCGCACAGATCGTACCTTATGACGTCTGGGCAGGTGGGCGGAGCCTCCTGCCGCTTTTACTACCTGTTCTCAAGAACCGGACAGAACCACGAGCAACCCACTACTGATGTGACAGTGCTTTCCTTATCTTAGGGGGAAATTGCATAGAAGATACCTCTCTTCTGCATCTTGCGTCTTCCTCCCAGGATCTGTACATAAAATGACTGCTTTATGGTATGTTTGGCTTACATAAGAGGCAGTCACTTTGCACAATTCAAGCAGGGATCAGAGGCTTCTAAATGGGGATTGAATTGGGCCCAGTTAAATGTGTGCCTTTTTCTCTGTCCTTCAGGGACACCACGAGGTGTGGAGTTCCAAGCAGTGAAGGAAACCCTGCTCTCTGTCAAAGGTGTGAAGCAGGTCCACAATCTGCACCTTTGGGCTTTAACGCTCAGCCATCATGTTGTGGCTGTACACTTAGCTGTTGGTAAGTACTTTTTTCCTCCATTCTGAGCAGCTGTAGATCATGCAGGAAATCTGCAGTGTTTCATGGGCTTTCAGACTTGGCTTATAAGGAGCATACAGGCTTAAAAACAGACAGATTGTGGCAGAATCACATTTCTGGACCCTGGAAAGACAAGGAGCGGAAGAAACCCCATTGTTTTTTTTTTAAAAGGCATGACTAAGAATACACTGGACAGAGCAGGGTTGGGTTCTACTTACCTTTACTACTGGTTCGCAAAGGGGCCGTGTGCGCGTGCTCGCTTCACTTGCACGCGCTCTTCTGCGCATATGCAGAAGCATTTTGATGACGTCAGGGTCAGTGGGTGGAGCCTCCCGCTGGTTTTACTACCAGTTCTATAGAATCGGTGCGAACTGGGGGCAACCCACCACTGGGACAGAGCCTTTAAGATTTTATTTTCTCCTAGTGTGGGTGGTCGCGGTAGTGTTATTGCTACTATTGTCATTACCTCCAGGAAAACCAAATATCTTAATACTTTAGAGGTTCTTTTTCAAGTTTTGAAACTATCTCAAATCTTGTTTGCAGATGTGTAAGGCCCTCATTTCACCTTTAAAACTTTCAACAACCCCCACCCCCTTGGTGGTTCCTGGCCTTATAAAATGGAACCCTTTACTGTATATTTTATCCCAAGCCTGTGGTGTCCTTGAGCTTTTTCAGAAAATTGTCTTTTGTAGTCTTACTTGGAGATGCCGAGGATTGAACTCGGGATGTGAAATAGGATCTCTGCTATTCTGACCTGGGAACTACAAATAGTAGCTTTTATTTCCCCTGTAGGGGAATGCATGAGATAGACTGAGCCAGTTTACAACTGACCCTACTTTGACCTTTGCTTTCAGAATCTGATGCTGACATGGAGGTTGTGCTACAAGAAGCCACAGCTCTGCTACAAAGCAAGTTTGGCTTCTTCTCATGCACCATTCAGGTGGAGCACTACCTGGATGACATGGTCACCTGCCACCAGTGCCAGGACCCACAGGACTAAGGGGAAAGTGCTACCCTGCCTACTTTTCTTCAACTGCCAGTCCCAGGTGGTGCCTGGAAATCCAGGGCCAGAAGCAGGGACCAGCCTCTTTTGCCATTCATAGCAAAAGCCTCCTCCCAATGCATGTTTAACCAGCATATGCAGGAAATGGCAGAGCACCAGGGATAATTGTCTGCCCAGCCAAGGAAGTCTCCATGGAAGAGTTGCTGGTGGTTGAGCATCGTTCCAAGCTCAGCCTTGCCTCTTCATACTGCATTCCAGTCATGTGGGGCCCCAACGGTTTCCCATGTTCATTTGCTAATTGTATTGATGTACAAATCCAACAGAAATGGGGATCTGGTGCCAAGGCCTTTAAACATCTTTGCTCTGAGATGAAAAGCTGTCATTTTTTTCAATCTGGGTAGCTTGGTGCTTGTTCAGGGCTTTTATTGTGACCATCTCTGTGTTTGCATGTGCTGCAGGAATAACAAAACTTTTCAAAATGAATGTGAATGATGAAAGCATGGGTGGAGCAACATTATTCCACTCCACCGCCTATTGTGACTAATACCGCAAAAGTAGAACAAGCCCAATTTTGCCTGCAGAACAAAGGAGCAACAAAATTAGTCACAAAAATGTCTTCTGTCCCAATGTTCTCACCATCTCACCCCAGCTGAAGTTATCTTTATTCCTTTTCCTGGAGAAAAGTTGATATTTGCATAGCTTTGCTGTATAAACCAAGCTTTAAAAAGTCAGTTCTCATGGAAGTCAATCTCGACTCCTGGTGACTCCATGGATCCATCTGTGTCATTTTCTTAGCCACAGTATAGAAATGTCTGTTTTCTTTCAGGATTTTTTTTTCATGTTTTCTATGGTATTCACAGGAGGCTTCTCATCTAAATAACGAACAGAACTGACCTCAAAACCTATGCACATATAGACACTACCATGCTATGACAGCCAGGATGCTGTATTCGCTTACAGATTATGGTGACCTAAGCCTCACTTGGAGGAGCAAAAGTGTAGATTCTCAAAACTATCCTATTGGATTTGTTGTTCTATTGATCTGAACAAGAAAAATAGGAATTAAGTGCAGACTGGTGATAATGTTGTTAATATAATATTAATATACCAAATGAAAGGATGCCTGAAGAACCATTTGACTTGGAAGGCTACAGTTACTATCCATTTTTAAGATTCAGGGAAGATTGTGGGGGGAATGGGAAAAAAATATTAAGGTCATTGCAGCTGCTCTTTAACAGGCAGGCACATCTCAGCAGCAAGTGAAATCACCTACCTCCAGACTCCATCTAGCATGACAGAGTAAAATAGCTGGTTAGTTGAGAATGTTTACTTTAGTCCCCATGGCAGTTTGTTTTTTCTGCAAAGTAGCTCAAGGTACCCATGTGTTCTCCAGGCAGCTACCACTAGAGCTTCTCTTGAACCTCCAAAAACCTTGCTGAAGAGACCAACCCTCCCTCCCTCCCATAGTCCAAAGTTAAAGCAAATTGCAGGATACATTATTGAAAAGATGTCAATGTTCTATTCCCAACCTAATAGTGGAGTCTAAAAGTATCCTTTTGACTGTTCACTAGCAATTGGTATCAGAAACGTACTGTTTTCCGATACCGGTGGTTAAAGAAGTTAAAGCTGCTCCTCACAGCTACTGTTCCAGAGGCCAAGTAAAGGGCCCCAAAATCTTAGTGACCAATAGAAAAAGCTTTCTGCTACTGCTATCTGAACTTGTTGCCACACTACCACCATATGCTTAGCCCAAGTCATTTTTGCATTCACAATTTGAGTCTATTATTTTGTTTTGTGTATTTCTGTGTAGTGTATGTATATTTTTTTACTGTAGTGTTTTTTACAGTGTGTCCAGATGGTATTTTAACTATTTTAATCCAATGCTGAAAATATCTGCGATTCCAATAAAGTAACCTGCTCAACCACACCAGGCTAGTTTACTGGGGTGTGGAAAAAACATGTTAGTTGTGCAAGCAGGGGGTTGAAGGAAAGGGGAATGTATTCTATTGCTGACTCGTCTCTTTATGCTAGCTAGAGTTAACAGCTTGTTTGATACTGGAACTGTAACAGGCAAGATGGTAAAGCAGAGTGAGAAGATCCATATCACGTGAGTTGGCAAAGATGAGATTTTCCAGAATTTAGTGGTGGTAGGGGGAAGAGATCAATTTTATTAAATACTCAGAGTTCAAATAGCCTTTTTACTCAGTCTTCCACAAGAGTGAAAATTATGGGCAACCGCTAAAAGTTGCAGCGTAGTTGAAGAGTCTCTATAAGATTTAGGAATACCTACTTTGTTGTTTGAAAGAAGTCCTTGGTGTTGACAGCTGATGGAGGAATGTGAGTAGCATTTGTCATGGAAGACAGATTAGGACATGGATTGAGTCTTGTCCAAGATCTCCTTAGAAACAATATACTACAAACGTGCAATTTACCACGATAAAGGAAATGGTACAAATTTACTCTTTAAAACTAAAACAGATTCCTAAGAGAGTATCTAAAATTCACTACTCTTAACTCATTTTGAAGACAAAGATGCACATAGCCTTATCAATCACACTGATGATGTTACCTAGTTAGGTAATGAAACATCTGCAAGCAAGCAGCCAAGCTCAGAGAGCACCAAGGACTCCTTAGGCTTATTTCCTTATTTATCACCACAGGAGGAAGGGGACATGTGAAGCCCTTTCCAAAGAAAGAAAGCGCTTTTACAAATCAAAACACATTTTAATAATGGTTAAGACAACAAAATGGCTCAATGTGAGCAAAATTATTGTCACCAACAAGACTGGGAGAAGCAGGATGAGCAATGGGGCAAGAAAGTCTTGTTGATGCTTTAATCAGAGCAGATCTAGGTTTCAGGAAACTCTCCAGATCTATGCAGGAAGAATATGGGGTACTATTCCACCAGACTAGCTAGAGGGAGATGAAATCCCTCCTTCCTTCTGAACTTTGTGCCATGCAGGAGAATCTCAGGAGAGAGCTCAAAGAGAGAAGTATCACCACATGGCAGAGATACAGCAGGATGGACTATTCCTCGCCATTGCCCTTTCTCGCACAACAGGAGCTGACTTCCGGTGCTGCTAGAAGCTCCAGTATATTCCACTCATCTGGCCAAACCCTGCCTTTGTCATTCTCTTCAGCTTATCTGTTTCCATATGGCCAACATCCTCTTGTAATTTCATGTTTGGTTGTGTTCTGTATATTCTAATAATTCCAGGATTCTCACAAAAGGCCTTCAATTTGTCAGCCATGTATGCTGATGCCCCAAATAGAGCTGCCCCGGGTGATATTCAGCTGACAGCAGTGTGCACCGCAGATGAGATGGTTGTGGGGCAGTCAGTCTGTCTCTCTGAATCAAACATGGAACTGAACTGGGCCTGACAGTCAAGGAGAAGCTTGTGGCCGCGGGGGAAAACCAATGCCCGAACACAGTGAAGTCGCACAAGGCCAGACTGACCACCAGACGCTACCCAACTATGGCTGTCAAGGTTTGGGCTGAAGCGCACCTGCCAAGAAAAGAAACAGAAGGGTGAAGATGACATTAACCATTAACCCACCCATCTCCATCCAGATATATCTCTCTCACAAAGCTTCAGAGAGGATGGGGGAGCCACAGTTTGACACAAAAGAAGAGATACTATGAAGTAGCATTTGTTTTTCTTTCCTCTCAAGTTGTACAGTCTTTTTCCCTTTTATGTTTACCTTATGTACAGTCTCTAGCTGCATCCGGCCCAGGACAGCTCCTTCTTTTACTTCTTTTGGCATGCGTTTCAGGGGCTTCTGCCTAAAGAGGCTCTTGAAAGATGTCTAGGAAGGACAGGGAAAATAAGAATTAAAAGCAGGCCTGGGTAGATCAAGAAAATGAAGCGCTTCATCCATTAAGGCTTTTTGATTACAGTTGTCAAGTAGTGATTTATTGGCTTGGGATGGAGCCTTATCACTCTGAAACATACCACAGAATGGGCCTGATACAAGCAATGCTACATAGAAATCGGAAGTGGGAACTCTGCATCTTGATGTTAGTACAGGGAGGAGGGTAGAATAATTATAACCACAGTTTCTGCTGTCTTTGTTAGCATTCAATATATTCAGTGCCAGATCCTTATCAATAGTTATCTCTGGTCAGATAGATTAAGGGTCCTGCCTGGAATATTTATGAAGATGAAATGGGCCTCCCTGTTCCCATGTTGTAACTGCTATTGTCCTTGAACCAAAATTCTGGTATTTCCAAGCCCTCACCAAATCAGCATCCTGGAAGAAAATGAAATTCTGGGCTACCGATTCATTGCACGTTTTGCCCACTGCCTGTGGCTTCTCACAGGCTGTTGCCTCTGTTGCAATCTTGTTAAGTGGGTCATTGGGCTGTAAAACTGCTTTGCAGATGAGCTGAAGACATGAAGAGAAATACGTGTTAAGGATAAGAAGACAATGGCCTCAGAGACAAGAAATGTTGCATTCCAGTCAATGGTTTAACACAGAGGACAAGTGCAATGACGATTAAGACGCAGCAATACCAAGCCTAAATCTAAATATTGAGCAGCTGAAGGAATTGATCTGACCCAAACTTTCAGAGACCATAAACCTCTTTGCTACTGTGACTGAAGTTCTCATTGTCATTAAATCCAGGGAAGGGTGGGGGTTTTTTGGTTCATTCATATGCATTCATTTGTTTTCTCAAGTCTCAAAGGCATTACAAATCTAATATTTGTGATTTGGAGCACAGAACTGAACTTCTTCACATCCCCAAATTATGTGCCCTTAATTTTCTCAGGACACTAAATACCCACACTATTAATACCAACCAAGATGTTTCTGTTTTTCTTTCTCCTTTTCAAAATTAATAAGAGAATATGCTTCTACCCAAACAACGTGCTTCTCCTGGAAGACATTCCTCACTTTGCACAACTGGCTACAGTTAATGCATCAATAAGCTTCCCTTTCCTCCATTCAGATCCAGAGCCGTAATGGTGAACCTATGGCACTTGTGCCACAGGTGGCATGCGTAGCCATATCAGTGGGCACGCCAGCTCAGCTCTGGCGTGCATGCGTGTGCTAGTCAGCTGATTTTCAGGCCTGGGCCCACCAGAAGTACGGAAACAGGATGTTTCCTGTCTCCGGAGGGCCTGGGGCGGGGAGGCACGTTTTTCTTTCTCACCTGGCTCCAGAACTTCTCTATGCATCTGGGGAAGGCGAAAACAGCCTTCCCCACCCCCTCGGAGGCCTTCCGGAGGCCTGAAACAGCCCATTTCCCAACTCCCGGTTGGACAGGAAGTGACGTTTTTTGCTGTCCCCAGCCTCCAGAGACTCCTAGAGAGGCATAGAGAAGATATGGAGCTAGGTGAGAAAGAAAAACAGGCCTACCCAGCCATCGCGTGCCAGGAGTGGGAGGGTGGTGGTGGTGATGGGGTTTGCGCTTGCAGGGTGGGGCGCATAGAATTATGGGAGTGGGCACACCCACGCACAAACCTCCCCTGCCCTCCCCCTCCTGACACGCAATGGCAAAAAGGTTAGCCATCACTGATCTAGAGAGTTGACAGAGGGGTCTATTCTTGTTTTCTACCCTGTTTGGTTGGAGATGAAGCTTGTGGGCCTGCAGAGCCTTCCCATTACTCAAGTGGCAGCAAAACTTACAAATCGACGGTCTGATGGCCGCTTGACATTTTGTGGGTTGACTGAAAGATCAGGCATCACTGCAGCCACCAATTCCCCTGCGATATCACCAGCAGCCACTGTGTTCAGCCAATCAGATCCAGAGATACTCTGCAAAAGGGATAGAATCATGAACCTCATTTCCACCTTTCAATGACCCTGGGATAGGTCATACGCTATATCTCCTCCTCCTTTACTTGGGGATGCATAACTTACCCATACGGTGCCTTTGCGAGGGAGCACAAAATAGGCTCGAAAGTCACGATAGCCAGCATCCAAATAGTGGATCCCACCTAGTCCATACCTGCAGCATAGAAATGTAAGAAAAATGCATGACACCTGGATATATTTCCAAGTTATTGTAGCACAAACTCTGACACTTGCAATAAAGAGCAGCATCAACGTTGCCATAGACAGTAATACATCACGTTAGGGAACAATAGTGCCATTTGATCTGCAATATAAGATTCCTGAATGAGAAATATAATTGGCAAAGTGGAAAAACTGTTTGTCCAGTTCTCTGGATTTGCTGTTTCCTCTATTGCTGCTTAAGCTTTTCTTGTAAGAAGAAATGAATCCTGGTCAGTTGAGAGATCTGAATGTCTGGAATCTCAATTTCAGATACTTATATCTGAAAACCCATCACAATCTCATCTAACTCCTGGTTACCTGTCCACTGCTCAGAATCTTTCCTGCCACAATTAATTAATGCATGATGTATAATTCAACTTAGACCTTGACATTTAAGATGTGTCCCAAAATAGTTTAAAGGACCAGATGAATTGCTACTGCGATAGGTAAATCTATTCTGCATTATTTAGCAAATGGCCCAAGTCCCTCAGTTTCCAAGTTATGAGCCCAAATCAAGTTGGGCATATGTAAAAATATCAAAACGTTACAAGCTAGAATGTGAGCCTTGGTGGTGCAGCGGACTTAAGTGCGGTTAAGTGCTAGCACTTAGCTGCCAGCTGCCTGCAATTAGTGCAAGTTCGAATCTCACCAGGCTCAAGGTTGACTCAGCCTTCTATCCTTTTGAGGTAGGTAAATTGAGGACCCGGATTGTGGGGGCAATAAGCCAACTTTGTATAGAACAACACCGCTTGAGGGGGGGGCGAAAGCCCTAATAAGCAGGTATATACAAAAAAGTATGCAGGCTATTGCTATAATGCATTGTAAGCTGCCCTGAGTCTATGGAGAAGGGGGGCATATAAATTGGACTAATAAATAAATAAATAAATAAATAAATAAATAAATAAATAAATAAATAAATAAATAAATAAATAAATGTGACACTAGAGTAGTGGATGTTGAGTTGGAGGATTTTTCAAGTCACCTCTTCTTGGAAAATCACATTTTGTGAGAACAGAGCAGCTATTTACCACATCAGAGAAGATCTGAAAGTCAGTAAGTTGTCATATTTCCTAAGGATGTGCCAGATTCTACAGTAAACACATCTGTAGGTATCAAGAAATCAAGGCCAATGTCATATAAATCAGTTCCAAAATGAAGCATTTAATTTTCTTCTAAGTGAAATATAAACAGAGTGGGATGTTATTATTCAAATAGTCAAGAGGAAAAGAACTGCAAGTAATTAGGATGAGAAAGCCTCGGGTCTGGTTCAGAGAAAGCTGAAATGGTTTAATAGGACTGGTCATCTGGAGAATCCAGCAATGACTGATACTTTGGTAATCAGAATGCCAAAGGACAATATGACAGCAGGGTGACATTTCAGATTGTTCTGCAAATGGATTAAAGGGTAATTTAGAACTAAAAATGGTAATGAATTAAACAAGACATGACCCTTTATTGAATTTTGATTTGATTTAAAATAGTAAGAGAAGTGGGACACATGAGGATTTGGTTAATGCAAGTTTTTAAAAGACTTCAGGAACTGATTGATAATTCTATCTACTCTTTCTCTACCCTCAAGGAACCCAAACTGTGTTAAGTCCATCTATCTGATACTCTGCAGAAGCAAACTCACATCAACTTTGGTAACAAGGCAAATTGGAATTGGGATACTTAACAGTTAGTCCATTATTTTAAGAATAACAGGGTATACACACACTCACGAGGCATAGCAGCTATCTTGTGCCACTGTGATTCCACTGTAGGGTAGCAGCCAGGCAATCTCTGTGCTCAAGTAACGCTTGATACTGTTGATAGGTTCATGCAGTCGGCGCAAGTCCCAAAATTTGATTTTGCGATCATTGCCTGTAGTCACCACGAAATTGCTAGGAATAAAACAGGCAGGCCAGAGCTCACTGGCAGAACACATCTGACACAGAAGTCCCAGATCCCTGGCAGAAATATCTGTCAAACTACACCAAGTATAAGCCTTGGCCCAAGACTGTGATCCAACGACAAACAGCATGTACAATGAGAGAGTTGTCTGGTCCAATCTGCATCCATAAATTTTGTGGGGAAGGGAGAAGGAAAAAAGCATGCCCAGGATGGTCAGAAAGGAGCCAGAAACTGAGAGACTAGTTCTCATTAGTCAAGTGATATTTCACATCCTTCTCACCTGTTTGCTTTGCACCACTGGATGTTGCTCACAGCATGGTCATGGGCCAGGAAGCAACGGAACGGATACAGTTTGAGGGAGCCATCAGGCTGGCGTACTCTTTGTAACAGAGACTTGGTGAGCAGATTCCAGAGAGCCACTGTACCTGAGGAGATGGGATTACAGGCATTATGCTAGATTTGTGAACCAATATAATTATTCCCCAACTTCTCTAAGTTTATTCCATTCCAAGGATTTTCCGCCCCTCTTACCATCATAGAAACCTGCAGCCAAATGCTCATGAGGCTTGGTTGGCATCCAGGCCAAGCTGAAACACTGCCCACATTCGGAGGAATTCCCAGCCTGAATGGAGCCTACCTGCAAAGTGGCCACATACTGGACCTGTAGAGAACAAGATAAGGCTAATATTAAGAAAAGACATTACCAAGCCATGGTAATTACTTATTATAAATGCATAAAATTCCATAACTAATTTCACACATCTCATTTTCAATGTTACAAGTAATGGGAAAAAAGCCAATTTGGTTTATCTGAGGCCTTACCGAACTAATGTCAATCAGAATAAATAAAGTTGCTAGATATCAAAGAGTAGAAAGTGGGCTATAGCAATATCTTACATTCACTTCTTGGGTGGGCTGGGGGAATGAAAATTAGCTATTTTCAGAGCATCTTTTTTTGAAAGTATTTATACAAGTATCTAATGAGAAAAGATTCAGATCTGGGAAGCCTTCAAAATTGCCTTGACAAATGGGAATCTGAAGGATCCACCTTGGAATTCAATACAGTATATACCCTGCTTTTAAATGATTTTTTTCCCCAAGGAAATAATAGAAGATACCTTGCAGATGACATGCCGAGAGGAAGATGCACCTAGAAGAGAGGACAATCAAATAGTAGCAGAAATACTTATATCTCATTCTGCATTTTCTCTTTGAATGTAATTCGACAAGGGGAGATATCCAGGGGAAAGGTGGGGGAGAAGGGAAAAGTTAACCAAATGCTTTGGGCGTGAAAAACTAGATTTGGCTTTGATACACTGTAATCATTTGGCTTTAGTAAAGTGTACTTTCACTAATGATGGAGTCGAGAGTCTTTCTTTCCTAACTGACAGGGACAGCCGACAGTGCTACTCACAACTCAACTTGCATAAAACTTACACACAATCGTGGAATTCCTCCTAAATTCTGACTTGCAAAGTTAAAAGTATAATAGTTCCTTAAATAAAAACCTATCAAAGCATCAATGTAAATTAACAAGATCTCTCGATTAAGCTAATCCAATAGAGTAGCCAAGACTGTTTGTAAGACAGTTTCCACAGAAAAAGCTCAGTTCCAAATAATCATTCCTGGCAAAACTGTCAAGACCTATAATATAAGCATTATATTATAGCATATAATGCTTATATTATAGCATATAAGGATGGTATGCTTTGATTGAAGGTGAGGCTTGCAAGGCCATGACATTTTTGTGGGGTGTTCACTGATATAGTTTTGATATTTATTAAGAATATTTAGGTTTTTCTTGTTTTTTTAATTAGATATACGGAAGATATTTTTCAATGAGGATAATTTTCTTAGAACACAGCAAAAGTAACGAGGCTGCTATTAAAATGTTTTAGAGAACCATGGTGCAGAATGCTACAATTTTATTACTGAATGGAACACAAAGAATCACATTACACTTATTATCTGATAACTGGTCCCATTGTCTATTTGACTTCAAGCCTACTTCAAAATACTACTGGCTTACAAGACTCTTGGGCCTAGAATTTTGATAAAATATTGTTTTGATGTAGTCATGCATAGATTCTGAGGAGCGGCAGGGGGAATGCCCAAGGCATGATTGATAGGCAGCATCTGAGGGGGCTGTACCCAAGCAAGAGCTTTGTGTTGTGCTGTCCTCACTGTAAAACAAGCATCTTCCAGAGTTCAAATAAAAGATAAGGTTTGCTTCAATGTGTTTGCCACAGATAGAGTTGTTCACGCAGAGTTGTGTGTGTGTGTGTGTGTGTGTGTGTGTATTCTAATCACTGATGTTCTGAATCTCTAATTCTGTAAAATCACTTTTGTTTTTTAATGAAGAATAGTAAACAAATAAATTAGTAATAAATTATTAGTACTAAGTAATAAATGGGTAAGTCAGTCAGTTGTTCATCTTTAGAATTGTTTTTACTAATCACAGGGACAAATGGAAAAATAGAAGGTTAGTGCAACAAAATGACTGTGTGTTTCTTTCAACATAATCTGATACCAAGGAATAGAAAAAAAGGAGTAGAATTCAAACTCAACTCTCTTGGGACTAATTTCCCACTATCATCTTTGAAAAGGTCAGTGCTGCACACCCAGTACTCATGATCATCAATCATTCTTGCAGACAGATGTAATTACAAGCATCATTAATTGATATGGTTGACTAAGCACACAGCTTGCACACCCTGCACCAGGCCCCAAAATGCATGCATCTGGATGTGGAGTAGCCTTTGTTGCCCATACAGCTCCCTGCCTTGCATGCGAGAACAAAAATGACCATACATCTCCTCAGGAACAACAAAAGCTAAATTAGGACTTTTTTTCAACAGAGCTGTAAAGATTATTTCAACATAAAGGACTGATTTTTTTAGAAAGAACAAGATCATAATTAGAAACCCACAACTTTGACTTAGCGTGTTGAGACAATTTAGTCTAGTGAAATGGGAAAGATATGGGTTATTATGACAGTGTTGCACTTCAGATAAAGGTGCTGCAAATATCCTCGTGATCATTTGAAGAAAAGCATTTAGCTTTCCTTACATGGTTTTAGCTCTCTATTTCCCTGGACTAAAATTTGAATGAGTTCTACTAGGCAAAGAGTGCTAGTAATATGAAAATAAGACTTTATGGGTAGCACATGGCTATTTCCTAAGGCACCACAGAGAGTAATGTCTCTCACAATTGATGGTAGGACAAAGCCTCTCATAATAATTAATACTATCTCTTCTTCCAATCATTTAACTTGGATAGAACACCTGGTCTTTCTAACAGTACCCCTCCTTTCCTGTTTGGGTGAGACATCCTGAACAGACAACATCCAACAATGCAGGTACCTGCCTATCTTCTTCCCATTTTTTACAGCCATTCCTACCTGTTACCTGTGTTCTTCGGTAGGCATTCAAGTCTTCCGCATGGGGAAGGCTGTACAGCAACACTTTGCCACTAGAAAAGGCTACAGCCAGTAATCCCAGCCGACTCATGTGAGGGAGCTACATGGGATATAAACCAAAGTGAAAGGTAATTATACTTCATGTCCCATTTGGGAAGCTTCCATTTCCAGCAGCCACAAATATGCAAGAACTGAATTGAAGAGTCATTTAAGTGCAAGCTTCCACTTTAAAGCACCTGTAACAGACTGAAGTACACCCAGCAAAGAGGATTTCAATGATTCCCTCAATAATACGTTCTACCAATAGGATGTTTTAAGTAACATTCAACAAAAAGCTTCCTTCATATAACGTAAGACTATCTGTATCCTCATGCTTAGACAATAGAGAACATGTCATACTCTTCTTCTGAGTGACATTCCTTCAACTTCTTGGGTGAAAATATAGACTCCGTTAAATTTCACTGTAATTTTCAGCTTGATTCTTTAATTTATCAAGATCTTTTTGAACTTTGCTTTTGTTTTTGGTGAAATTATCTGTTAACGTCTATTGTATCTCACCCTGTTTTGTATCATCTGTGAATCTGATAATAACTTTGACAGAAAGAGAATGCTTAATAAAAATATTGAAGATAAAACCCTATCATACGATATTCCAACCCTGCATATACATTGAGTATCTAAAGTCTAGGCAAACTTTTGGCCCAGACAATCTCTTGGCCCCAATTCTCACCTTGCGCTGAGAGATAGGGGGTTCCCAAGCGCCACTGGGACAAAATTTCATGTCCCAAATACAACCATGATCAGTGGCAATTGCATATGCAAGTCCTGGCTTGGTAACAGACCTGGAAAAAAGAATGCAGAAAAAAAATTCAAAGCCTTTGGGTTATGCCATTCCTCCAGGTCACAGTATATGCACAATTCTTTTGCATATTCCCCAGTGCAGAAGATACAAGGACCTTTGAAGATTAGCCTGAAAGGATAATTAAGAAGAGATTCTTCTGCACCTTGGCTACTCTTCATTTATTAGATGTGTCTTGCTCCTTCTTGTACTATCTCATAAAGCAAATATAACATATCTGAAAGGCAGAAAATAGGCTCTACAGGAAGCAGGGTGGATAAAAATCGATGATTTTTTTTAAAAGATCAAAATCTGTTTTTTTTTAAATTTAAATCTGATTTTTAAAATTTTTATTAAATTTATTTTACTAAAATGCTTTTGGAGTAAAAATCTATCTAAAGAGTTTCCTATTAAAGATGCATTAATAATTTAGTTTATTCAGCATGAAATGGAACTTAGTTATGTAGCATGAGTTATGTAGCTGTATATTCTGCAATATTGGGACTGTCGGTGAGTCAACAGCAGGTCAGAGGAGCAGCTGCTGCAGGACAAAGATGCCAGTTGCTCTTTAAAAATTATGATTTAAATAAAGCCTTTTTACTAGTGATTTAAACTGTGATTTAAATCGACTTGATTTAAATCAAATCAAATCAAATCAAATCCACCCTGACGGGAAGCAATGTATCTTAATACAGCTGTTCTCTGCCCATAAAACTCTACTTTAGGAAACTCCCTAATGATATGCCCCAATTTAATTGCTAGTGATGTTGGAATCTGAGTTAATACAGCCACAATTCCTAGTGCACTGCTTAACCCTCAGCTACAATGCAGGATACAAGACCTCCACAGGAATGAAAATTATGTTTTTACAACAGACGCAAAGTTTGCTTACAACTCACCCTTTGTCTTCCTGGATAGGCCCAAGCTCCCAGAGCTGAAGCAGAGCTGGTCCTGTATGGATTTGTGACAAAGAATGCTGAACATTCATGCTGGGATTGCAGTAGATAGCCACATACTGAGATGCCACAGAGCCTTCAGGGGTTGGGCACCACTCCAAAGCCCAGACAGGACCCCCAACAAAGAAAGTCATGTCTAAGCGGTCCTCATGAGGTTGTAAGGCATTAAACCTACCAGGTAGGAAAAGAAAGGAGCCATTGCATAATAGCTGACCTTGCAAGCAGCATCTAACATTTAAAAGTTTACTGGATACTTTGGAAGGAAAAAAAGACATCAGTATGGCTTAAACCATAGAGATGATAACATTCTTCAACAAGATGGAACAAAGAATTGTTATAATTGATGTAAAGGAAGCATGGGAAATCTCAGGTACCCCATCCATCTCATGGGGCTTCAAAGTAAGGTTCCTGCCCCCATTGATTATTTCCTCAGAGATTCCCTAAATGTAATATTTCCCATGAACTTTCCCTCATGGACAAAACTAGTTGCACAAGCACACACCTGTTAATCCGGTACAAGACACTGCTTTCTTGCAAACCTTCTCTCTTGATAGAGAAGAGTGGGGACTTGGGCTCAGCAGGAAGGAATTTATCTGCTTCACTTTGGAAGATGGAAAAGAACAGAATGGAAGCTCATTTGATGTTCACTTTGTTAGAAGAAATCAGTAGCATTTAAATCCCTGAAAGCAGACTGGGGTGCAAAGATTTCTTCTGTGCAGGGGGATACACAGAATCTTTCTGGTGGCAATATTTTTGATTTTGCCATGCTGTCTTACGTGCTATGCTGCATTGATGTAGAGCATAGGTGTCAAACTCGCGGCGTTTTGACACGTGATGTTTTGCGACATTTTTCCCCTTGGCAGAGCTGGGGTGGGCGCAGCCTATGCAGGATGCATCCGGCCTGCGGGCCGCCAGTTTGACACCCTTGATGTAGAGAAAATGATCACCAATGGCCTCTCTCTTAAAAGCTTAAGGAATTACCAGGACTAAAGATCAGAATGGAAATGTAGGATATGACAGGAAAGTCAAACCAAACTTTCCAGAAGACAATTACAAAATATTTCTGTATTATACCTAAGAATCTAAATAGATATATGAATGAAATCACCAGAATTGAGTCAATTTAAAGGAGTCCGTATCATTTATAGGCACATGTGCTCTTTAATTATCTATCTGTTTCTCGGTATGTCACATTTTATTCCAGGCGGCCACTCACCTCTCTGAGAGAAAAATCCACTTCTGGGCAGAGGGAATCCACTCTGGAAACTCCCAGTGGGAATGGTGCTGCTCACGTCTAAGGGAAAAAGGAAGTAAAACTGCATCACAGAAATGCAATTTATGTAACAGGAATCAGTGTAACAATAGAACAGTACAACAACCAAGCTGTCTGTGGTTTGATTGAATACTATAGTGAGCACAGCAAAATGAGAACGCACACTCAATGGATACATTGAGTCTTTCGAACTTGCGTCAATCTGAATGCTCAAAAATAGGAGTACTTTGGAAGATGTTGCAACAAACAACTTAGTGATTAGATTTTCTTCTGAATTTCTCCAATTAGTCAAACAAGATATAAACCTTGGATTAAAAGGGGAAGGAACTCTGTTTTTTTGCTAAGTGTTTTTTCAGTGAAGAAAGGATTTGGCAATTGTCATCTCTGTAACATTTATTTGGCATGGTCTAATCTTTACCCAACTATCTAGTAAAGTGCCAAGAAGTTGCATCCTTCCCTGAAGGAACACAGATCTCACAGAACCCAGTCCCTTCCAAGTATTTCAAGCTTTCCTAAACAAAGCCAACACAGGCAAAACTAGTATATCTCTGTCTTGCGCACATACACTTTGTCATAAAAGACTTGACTCTTGCAAATCAGCAACTGAATTGTCATATTTTTCTACAACCTCTTCGGCGAAGAGGTTGTAAAAAAAATGCTTTCAAAAGGCTCTGATGATCCCAGCTGAGTTGCCTGAGATGCCTTTGCTGATCAGGCAACTCAGCTGGGATCTTTGACGATCCCAGCTGAGCCGCGCGATCATCAGAGGCTTTTTTTTTTAAAGCATTTTTTCGGCCAAAGAGGTTGTAGAAAAAATGCTTTTAAGTTAAAAAAAAGCCTCTGATGATTGTGTGGCTCAGCTGGGCATGGGGAGGGAGGGGGGCAGGGATTTTTGCTACAGGTTCTCTGTAGCGCCTCCATCGCTACTGGATCAGGCGATCTGGTCCGAACCGGGAGCATTTCACCCCTGCTTTAGACCCTATGTTCACTTTTTATCACAGGCTAAATTCACTTTCAATGAGATTTTTAAAGCATTACCACCCATGGTCAAACTTGGCTCAACATTTTTATTTCCTCAAAGAAGTAGTATCTCTTCATTCACTTAGGCAAGCTATTTTTTCATGAACTAACAAGCCAGCCAGGCTTGAACATCCAGAGGCCTCATTATCACTGCCCAATCCACACTCATTTAGACTTAAACTACAAGATATGGTGATTGCTGGAGAGCTCATTCTTTAAAACAGTGATGGTAGGTACTCAAAAGCAGTCACATCACGTGTACTTCAGCCAGTCAGGACTAGTTGAAGCACTGAACTTTCAGGAAACAAAACAATGCAGCAGAAACCTGCCTTTCCTCCCTCCAACCACATTCCTGTTCCTCAATTCTCCCAATCATTGAGGGATGTCTAATACTCACAAGCGGTGAGTGATGGAGAGACACTTCCATATAGGGCCTATCATGGAATTGTACAAGCCATTGGAACCAAATTCTCGGCGCTGAGGTTTGGACCTCTATGGAAAAAAAGGATGTCAAAAACAGAGGCCCCAAAGCCCACCCTCCCAAATTCTGGCAACAAGAATCTCAGCCAACTGATTCCAAAAGAACAGGGCTTTTTCTTCAGGTGGTGTTCCCTCCAACATACCACCAGGTGAAAAATCCAATCCCCCCCCGAAATACAATAAAGCCATCTCAGGTTTGGGTTACCACTGGTTTGCATGAGCTGGACTCCCTCTCAGACTTCATAGCCTCATTCATCACTAGGTCATAATGCTCTTCTTCCTCCTCCTCCTGCAGAAAACTTTCTTCTGAGGGGACAAAGTCCACATCTTCTTCATTTTCCAACTTCTGTTCTTTTGGCTTGCGGCCTCGTCGTTTCTTACTGGGCTCCTCAGTTTTAGGGGTATCCTTTGGGGTTTCATTGCAAGGAGGAGCCTGGTAAGCAGATGTCAGTTCTTCAGCCAATTCCTGTAGATACAGAAGGGCTCTTGGAAAGAGGAAGAGGAAGGGAGGAGAATGTAAATTCATGAACTGAGCTGCGGTTAAAAATCAGGTCCATTCTAATGTCTTAAGGACAGGAACAGATATAATCTTCATTTCCAAATCTCCAAAAGAATAGTGGTGGATAGGTCAGAATCATAGGCATCAAGCTCCTTGGCATAACAAATTCACTTATTCTGTACCTCTTACAAGTACCCAAAAGAGGAAAAGTTCTTCATAGACAGTTGACAATTTTATTGCTGAATTTGACAATGACTAACAAATAGAGATGGTGAGGGTTTACAATGCTGATTGGCCTGTCTTTGTTTTATACATTTTGATTCAATAATCATCTAATTAACATTTGTTATACTAATTATTAGTATAATTTGTTATAACTACTGATATTTACAGACCCCTCACATCCTGGACATAAATTGTTTCAACTCTTATCCTCAAAACGACACTATAGAGCACTGCACACCAGAACAACTAGACACAAGAAGAGTTTTTTCCGGAATGCCATCACTCTGCTAAACAAATAATTCCCTCAACACTGTCAAACTATTTACATTAGATTGCATTACTATTGCTATTGGTCTTCTCATCGTTCCTGTTGCCCATCTCCTCCCACCTATGACTGTATGACTGTAACTTGTTGCTGTATCCTTACGATTTATATTGTTTCTAATATGATTTTATTGCTTATTGTACCCTATGACTATCATTAAGTGTTGTATCTTATTATTCTTGACGAATGTATCTTGTCTTTTTATGTACACTGAGAGCATATGCACCAAAGACAAATTCCTTGTGTGTCCAATCACACTTGGCCAATAAAGAATTCTATTTTATTCTGTATGTTCCAGCAGGGTGTTTTTTTTTTAAAGAAAAGCAAGCTAGTTATTTCCACCCTAAAATAACTGTATAACACAAATGCTTTACCCAGCAGAATTCAGTGATAGGTTCCTTCTCTCACTTACGCTTTAGCTGCACGGCGCTTTGGTCGTCCACCAGGCATGGTCTCAAGAGAATCAAGGCTCTCATTGCTAGATAGAGACTTCTGCTGGCAAAGGGACTCGGATGACTGACTGTCCAGTCCTTGAGCTAGCCTCAGTAACAGGAGCTCTTCTTTGGACTTGCGTCCTCGCTTCTTTGGCACTTTAACAGGAAGAGAGGAGCCATTCTCAGATGGCCCGGGGCCTTCGCTTGGTCCCTTGGGAATGGAATCTTTGTGGACAGAGACTTTCTTTCGGGGTTTCCGCCCACGGGAATGCTTCTTTATGGCTGGGATAGCTGACGGAACCTCTTTCGAAAGAGTGGAAACTGGAACTGGGGAAGGACATGGTTCATCTGCTTGGAAAGAAAGAAAAAAAGTATTGTCTTAGATGCCCTCTTATGCTGAAGATACAATGGGCCAGCTTGAAACACAACTTAATTGTTACCATCCTCTATTTCTTATGCAGGAAGACCCACTGCAAAATCCTGCAACTGTTTCCAGATCATCCTGCACCCTGACACACTCCTCGGCTATATTCCATATTTCAAAATTTTTGCCAATCTCCAAATCACCTTAAGAACCTGGTGAGCTCAATTCCACAGACCCTTCCTTTCATTCTAATGGGCCAAAACGCTTTTGAAGAAACTGAAGATATCCAAGCTTTCTTGATTCTTTGCAGACTAGATTTCTCTTTAGATTTTCTCTAGCTCTGAGGTATGTACACCACTGAAGAAGGAGATGTGGCACATTCATTTCTGTTCAATGAAACGGAAATCAAGGCTGTAATGTCCTCAATGTCATTGGCTAGTGCTATGGCTTCCCCGTTCCCCATCAACCCTTACTTTATATCTAATGGGTTCCCAAAACCAAGAAGAGGTTTCTTTACTGATGCAGAAAGAAAAAAGAAAGGGAAAAAATTGAGTTGTTTTAGTTTGCATTTCTCTAAAATGAAGTTATATTACATTTGCCAAGACAATGCAGCCAAAAATGCATCTGAAAACATACCAAGCATTTCCACGTGACCTATCTCTCCTTCTTGCCCCCTCAGCTGCTTAGGAAGCAGTTCTTCTTCCACGTCTTCTAGATGTCTTTTCTTGCAGCAAGAGCTTTGCTGCTCTGGCCGGTCTTCTTCAAGACAGGTTTCCACTCCAGGGGCAACTGCTGGTTCTGTGTTCCTTAAACCTATATCTGCTGAAGCCAATCCTTCCACTATTGTATTATTCTGCCCATCCCAGTGAGGTTTTCTCAAGCAAGATGCTGTGCACAGAGTCTGACTGATACTTCCATCCTGTTGGTCTATGGCTTCCCTCACTATTCCCATGTCACAGCTTGGTGTGAGACAAGGTTCCATGAAGACACCACAGCTCTTCAGACAGGTGCCACTCTTTTCATCTTGCACATCGCTTGGCCTGCAAAAATAGGATGAGAAAAGCAAAAAAATAAAAACAAACAGATGAGGGAAATCCTTGTTACTCATGTGAACATAAAAAAAATTGCAGTGCCCTCAAAACCAGTATCAAAAATAGCTAAAAATAGAATAGAATCTCCCCTGAAACTTAATGAGCATCTCAATTAGTAAGAACATCATAAGGCAAATATACAAGTTGACAATGTGTATATGATATGTATTATATGTGTGTATAATACAATGATGTGTATTATACAATGTGTCAGAGTGTAGGGTTTTAGAAAATACGATTAAATTCAGGATTATTGTCCTGGCTAAAAGCAGCATAGCATAAGCACTGCATATTTTGTAGCTATATTATTTGTACAATTATATACCTTTAAAAGACTCAAAGTATTATTTAAAACCAATAATATAATGAAAACAGAACACTTTTAAACCATTGATTTAAATGAGAGAAGTTCAATGTAATCAAGTAAAAGTAAATAAAATGGTCAATTATTCATTTTAAAACAGAAAATGTATCAGTTACATTTTTTCCTGGAAGGAGTTGGACAAAGATGAAGCTATCACCAAAAGGATTTACTGCATGCATTCAAGAAGAAGCAACACTTAGTTAGCGTCATATCTGCAAAACCTAAATCAGTTTTTCCTTCCATATCCAGGCTACTGTACAGCCTTAATAGCTACAATTAAACAATAATTAATAGAAGATGGAGAGATTAAAATATTTGATAGTTTAGAGAAATTGACTGAAAATAATAGAATAAAATGGACAAATGCAATGTTCTTCACTAATTAACAGAATACAAGTACAGAACAATGGGTTGCCCAGCATACTTGTGAAAAGTACTTTTTAATTATAGATGACCAAAAACTACCAATGAATCCACAATGTAGCATGGAGGCAAAAGTAAACATAACTTCTGACTGGATCAACAGAAATAGATTTCCCAAATTCGGTATCTAATAGTTCCACACTACTCTCCGTTAACAAAACTCTAATTTACTTGTGGGTATTATACTTTAAAAACATTTAGGCTAACTCAAATAGTTTCAGAAAAGGGCAAAAATAAAACTAGGGAAGAAAGCTTGAGGAATTACCATAGATACTTTTAACCATGAAAAACGAGAGGGAATATAATACCGCTTTTCTACAAATGTGGCATAGATGATGATAATTATTTCTTTTGTATTATCCCAGAAACAGAACATAGAACAACAGAGTTAAGTTATAAAAAGGCAGATTCTCATTGAATTGGGGAGGGGGGGGAAGAGTTCCTAACACTAAAAGTAGGTTGACAGTGGAACTAATGACTAAAAGTGAGCTTTGTTTAGTTTAATCTGCTAAAGCATAAACTGACTAGCCTTTATCGTAAGTGCTTTAATTTGGATTCTTGTGCTAAGCAAGGGGCTGGAGTTGATTATTTAAATCAGTCCTTCCAAATCAATGAAAACCAAGGTGCTGGAAGAGAAATGTAATGTACACTGTTATCAAACACAGGTATATGGTATCATATTATGTCCATAATGAAAGACTGCGCCACTTGCCAAATGCTTTTAGAGCAAAGTTCAAATGTTGCTTTCTACAGCTTGAAATAATTGTGAATCTATCTCCTTATTAAGAACAGCATAAGTATCTTAAAGATGTCCATGCTTTCAGGGGCTCTTTATCAGATTTACTTGGTCTTCTCTTGAATTACTCTAAAGCTATGGAATGCATCTCTGTAGTTATATTTGCTGTCAGTTTCTGTTTTGGGGTAAACAGCTAACTTTTGAGCAGGTTTTTCAATGAGTACTGCTAATAATTTCAATAGTTTTGATCAATGCATTGTTATAAATTGTTAACCGCTTGAATAACATGGGTAAAAAAGGAAGCTGAAAGAAGTGTAATATTATTAATTATATTATTTTATCAGAGTCTTTGCATACTCCGGGACAATACAATCCAGTAATAATGAAATTAAAATATATTATGTAAAATATGTAATTTTCTTCATAATTTAGTTATGAACTGCATAGGCCAACTGCAATTGGCCTGACTGGCCATCCTGAGGGCAGCAGCTAAGAGTCTACTTCTGGGAAGCAAAGTGGAGGGAAGTTGGGAAGAGCTGTTTGTCCATAGCAGGATCAGCTCTTTGGGCTAGCTAGCCTTCTTAGGAAATTACCCAGTGATTAAGAAATTAGATAATTAGGAAATTACCCATGTGAATCAACATGATGGTATATGTGATTGATCGATCAGGTTCTTTTTTATTTTATACATTTTAAAATAGACACTGTGGATGTTTTAGCTATCCTGTATATCATGTAAAAATTCAAGAGTCATACTTGACTGTAGTAAGACAGAAATGTAGTAAACAAAAGGACTTGCAGGGCTTTTGTTAATAGTTTTGAGGCTATCCTATTGCTGAATGCTGCTGCTAAAAATCCATGGTTCTGCCGTTAAAAGAGGCAGCTGCTTTTTCCAAAAAAAATAATCATTTTGTTTTCTTTTCATCTGGCTTGAAAAAATCTATGTTAAGCCACGTTTCAACAGTATTCTAAATTGCAACAACATTTGATTTCTTTTCATTTGGCTTGAAAAATCTATTTGTTAAGCCACGTTTCAACAGTATTCTAAATTGCTGAACATTCTCCAATTCTGCCAGTTTCAAAATCTCTGGGCAATTTGCTTAGTCCCCGTGGTTTCTGGCTTTTGCAATGCTTTCAATGATTGTTTTACAAAACCTTTCCCCATCGTGATCATCTACAAGGCTTTAAAGTGGATAAGACGGAGGGAGAGTTGCCATCTGCTTGTAGTAGAGGAAAAAGCACGAATTTAAATCATCAAAGGGCGGAGAAGCGTCCATTGCACAGCCGGGACTCGACCCAGGATCTTTCCTCCACCCAAAGGCGCTGGCGCGGAGGATATATATATATATTTTTCTCCAGAGGCGGAAATTGAGCTTTCGCACTTTAGAGGCGGGGAGCGGGGTGGGGGCTCCAGGGAAGAGTGTCTTTTGTTCCCTTGTTTCACGCCCTTACGGCGGTTTCACGCCCTTACGGCGGTGACAACAAGGGACCGCATCGTGGGCAGCCACCCCTCCCCGCAGTGACGAGCGAAAGGCTCCTCAAAGGTGGCCTGCCAGATGCAGGCGGGCTCAGCCTCACCTTGTTCTCCCCGCATGGAAACCGGTGTCTGGCCGGAGCAGCAAAGATGGCGGACGCTACAAGGATAATAGCGGTGACCCCCCCCCACACACACACACCAAGCTCTGGCGTCACTTCCGGTACCTGGTCTCTTTTCCCTCAGCTGGTGACGAAAACATTCAGGCTCCGCCCCCCTTGCCTGAACTCTAGAATCAAGAGGAAATTTTGCGCCGCGATGTACTTTGGGAAATGCCGCTGTCGGAGTATTGGAGGGCGCTAGGGCCCAGAAGACGTTACAGTACAGTAGTCATTCGTGGGATGTTGCGGTCTCCTCTTAGTGATGGGTGTCATTTCGCCAAGATTGTCTACCCTGTTGGCGGATGCTGCTTTGTTTTGCTCGCCGCCTCTTCACCTGTTGGCTTTGGTTTTTCCAAGCATCAGGATTTTCTCCAGGGACTCCTGCTTCTCCTTATCTGCCCAAGAGGTCTAAGTTTCAGCTTCCTTATCAGTACAGTACAGTACAGTACTGCAGGGGTCTCTAACCTTGGCCACTTGAAGACTTGTGAACTTCAACTCCCAGAATTCCTCAGCCAGCTGAGGAATTCTGGGAGTTGAAGTCCACAAGTCTTCAAGTGGCCAAGGTTGGAGACCCCTGCAGTACTCTATTGACAAGTTCATTTAGTGACCGAACAATGGTTCATTTAGTGACCGTTCACAGTTACAAGGGCACTGAAAAAGTGCCTTATAACCGCTTTTCACACCTACCTGTTGTCCCCAATTCGGGTCTGAGCCTGGTGCCAAAGCCGATGATGGACGCCAGACACGAGGTGCAGGTTTTCTGATTGGTTTTTATTGGAGTACTCCAAGGAAAAGGGCTCCTGGCCAAAATGCCAAGAACCAAGAACAAAGGATTAAGAAAGCTTTATACATTTTCACTAAAAGAGAAGGCGGGACAAGGCGAGATAATAAGAAATATCATCTAATAAATGTTTTAGTAATAATTCTGCAATATGTTCTATTGGTCTCTAGCTGTCCCTATTCCTAAACCTTGGCTAATGAAAGCCAATAAAACACATTTTATTGGCTGCAGGCCATCTGTATTCCTAATTTTTAGCTGAGGCCTCCTAGTTTTCTAACTTTGTTACTTTTATCAGCTTTCTAACTACCCAGAATTGTTACAAATTTACACAGGAATATTTCCTGTAGATAAACATTCTTTGTTCTTGCCAGACACACTCCGCAATTACAGGCTTCCTTATTTACTTTCAAGTGTATGTCATGACATGGCTTTATTTTAGCATACAGCCCATCAGACCGTTACAGCATCCCCATGATCACGTGATCAAAATTCAGATGCTTGGCAACTGGTTCATATTTATGACGGTTGGAGTGTCTTGGGGTCATGATCAGCTTTTGCGACCTGACAAGCAAAATCAATAGGAAATCCAGATTCGCTTAACAACCATGTTACTAACTTAACAAATGCAACAATTCACTTCACTGTGGCAACAAAAGTCGTAAAATGAGGCAAACTCAATAAATTTTTCACTTAGCAACATAAATTTTGGGCTCAGTTGTGGTCCTAACTTGAGGACAACACTAGATTTAGAAAAAACAATTGCCAATATGAATTGTTAATGAATATTTTGAAGTGTCTGTCTCAATCTTGAAAACCTGGATGAAGCAAATTATCTTGACAAAAATGGCATTGATCACTCCCTTAGATTACCTCTGTGTGGATTTAAATCAGTGTGTTTCAAATTTAGCAACTTTAAGATGTTTAAAGATGTTTAAGATGGCTTAAGCTAAGATCAAATAGGCAACAATCTAGGACACCAAATTTTAGCAGTGCTAAAATAAAAAAAGGCTGCTGAAGAACACAATAAAAAAGAATGTTGTCATATGGTAACAATGGGTGCTAATGTAATTAAAATTGCTGTGTAAATAGGAAGAAAATATCCAAGAAAACAAATTGCGCAGGACTCAAAATTGTGTAAAACACAAAGGATGTATTTTTGTTGAATGTAATTTTTATAATTAGCATCAGCTTTTATACTGTTTTATTCTGTTGTATGCAGCTTTTGATTTTTAATGGTATACCTACAGAGTATTGAATATGGTGGGTACAAGTTGTGCAATAAATAATATAGAGATCAGAATGCTAGGCCATGTTAGGCCGGTTACTGAATTCCTTTATTCATAATTTTGGGCATTTTCATGAGTGACCAAACTCTTTCTGCACCATTATTGCTCCACCTGAAGCAGTAGGATATCCCAGTGTCATTTCCCCCAAATTAGGGAGAACAGTGGGGGCAATAAATAGAAATAAATGAATCGAACTCCTTGATACCTTGCTCTGAATCTGCTTTCACCCTTCAAATACCAACAGCAATATTTTGGGAATTCTGGAAACTTTAATCTCCAAACATCTAGAAACAAGTCTAAGAAATATTTTAAATATGATTCACTTCATGACAGGTACCTCTAGGGTGGCTAGAATGAGGCACCACAGTGGTGGGTTGCTACCGGTTCGGTCCGGATCTTGCGAATCGGTACTAACGGCAGCAGGAGGCTCCGCCCACCTGTCCGAACATCATCATGGACGCTCTGTGCATGCGCAGAAGCGTCGCACATGAGCTCCCGTTACGAACCGGTAGGGAAGGTAAGTGGAACCCACCCGAGGCACCAAGTAACATCCTGTGTATGATAGGGACTAGTAGTTACCTAAGAGGGGGAGAATAAGATATATTATGCAGGCAGGTTACTGTTGCTTTAAGATCAATTTCCAATTGTCCTCACATTGGTTTGGTTTGCACATTGCATTAAGCCATAATTGATTTTAAACTTAGTTTGCTAATTAAATTGGCTTGCTCATAGATGTTAAAGTATATAATCACGCTTAACTATTTTTACTAGTTACATTCACACATTGTTTTAAGATGAAACCAAACAAGTAATATTTTGACTTAATACCATGTAGGAACCCACTGACATCAACTCAGCTATTTCAGAACTGCCTCTTGTAAGAAAACACAAATCAGTGCAAGGGGATTTTGGACAGATCTATACATTTGCAAGAAATGAATAGAAAATGAGATATTTCACAATGCCCTAGTTGCTAGAAAAAAAAGATTCTGGGTCTCAGGTCTACTTGAACATATAACACACTCAAGGATAAAGAGAGATAATGTACCTAATGATTACTACTAGACAGTGGTGGGTTCCTCCCGGTTTGGCCCGGTTCGCGAGAGCCGGTGGCGGTAACAATATGACGTGACCGAACCGGTTCTCTGTCTTCGGGAGCTGGGCCCTCCCGCCCGCCCCCGCGTTATTCCTACCTTATATTTCTTCTTTTTTCACCCAGCTGAGAGGTGCAGCAGAACGGATTGCCGCACCTCAGGTGGGCAGATTCGCAACACGCTTGTGCGAAGTGCAAGTTTGGTGCGCCTGCGAGCGAACCGAGCATGCATGCGGCGATCGCACGCAAAGCGCGCAACCGAAGAGGCGATCGCACGCAAAGCGCGCACACAAAGAGAACTGGTAGTAAAGCCAGTTAGAACCCACCCCTGCTACTAGAATAAATTCTAGATTGGACCTCTAGCTCTAAACTGAGTGTTGGAATAAACAGAAAGGCATTGATAAATTCTATAATAGGACTCCATTTTTAGCAGCAACAGATTGATAACAAAGATGCCCCCAATAAATAAACAGATTAACATAAATTACTTAAGTCCTGGACAAGGATTCAGTTGATTCTCCCAGAGTTGGGAGTCGTGTTTCACTCAGTAGTTCACACAATGTCATATATAAACAGAGGCATGGGACAGAGACAGACAGGTTTATTCACTCTTCCAACATTACTGCTCTACATTCTTGACACGCAGAACAACAGGAACAGAAGTGCAAGGGATCATCCCCAACTCTGTAATGACTAGATCCACCAATTCTAGAGGGGTCACATCATAGACTAAATTGAGAAGGCGCAACGATTTGCTTTCCTGCCAGTTGGATAATGGACGGCTCTTTCCTTTTGACCCAATCAGGTCATCTGGATCATCTGCAAAAATAGGAATAGGGACCAGTTAGAAAAGTTTTGGTTCTTTCTCAAAGCAGCATGGGCCAAGATTTCTCCCTTATGTTGGACAAGTCCTGAAGAAGCTATTGTTTCCTGTACTTTCCCTTCTGCACATTCTGAAGCTTACTTTGCTTACACTATTTGTGCTTTGGTAACATTTTGCATTGAGAAGCAGTGGGTGCAATTTCAGCATTCCAATATCTGTCAAGTTTCCTCTACATATTTCAAAGCTCAATTACTAATCATGAGCTAGTCACTCCCCTAAGCCAATTTAGCTCATAAAGTTGATCTGAAATAAGCATATGCTTCAATTCTCAGTGGTCTTGAAGAATGAAAGTGACATGAAACAAAATGGAAAATGGTAGCCTGACTTTTCTAGGCAAGCTTTTCCCATTAAAGGGACGATTTTTGGTTCTCTTACTTGTATTAGTCCAAATATTGAGATCAACAAAAGACTACCAACTCCAAGAATCCAGGAATCTATATGAAAAATGACTAACATTCCACAAAATAGTCAAATCTGCCTTCTCCAGGTAACTCAATATTTTAAAATTAAAAATGGCAAATCTTTATTTTTGGCATTTGCAACATTGTGCAATAAAGTTTGTCATCCAAAAAGATACTTGAGGCTTGATACCACACATACCAAGTTCATTGGAAACAAAGGAGTCGGTCTGAACCCGATCACAGAACTTGTAGGTCTCGCAGCAGACTAGTACAGACACATTATAGGCCTTGGAAAGCAGTGCAATTTGTGAGGTGCCCATACGTGACATCACTGACCCATTGGCTAATAGTGCATGAGCTCCTAACAGCACTTTAGAAACCTGCCAAGAGAGAGAGAGAGAGCAATTCACTTATTTTATAACCACCTGTAGCCTTTATTTATTAAAAAGATTCCCATAATTCTTAGAACTGAATTTATAACTTAGAATAACTTTATTGTCACTTTGAATGTACACTAATCGGCATACATTAAAATGAAATTTCATTGCATACAGCTCTCAAAGGATCTCCACCTCTAATATACACTAGATAAACATAACAAAATAAATAAACACAAAATTATGCGTATACCCACATATATTATATGACACAGAGAAACAACAGTCTAGTTTGGATGGTATAGGGAACAAAGCTGTTATAGAATCTGGTAACCCTGCTAGAAATACATTGAAACCTCCTCCCAGAGGGGAGCAACAGAAACAGTCTGTGAATTGGGTGTGTGGGGTCTTTAACAATGAGCTCTAAGCACATAGCGCTTATAAGCACTATCCTGAATAACAGGAAGCGAGCGTCCTATAATCTCCTTGGCTGTCCTTACCACTCTCTGAATGGACTTTCTTTCTGAGGCACTGCAGCCACCAAACCAAACAGTGATGCAGTTTGTTAAAATGCTCTCTGTTGAAAATGGCCAGGACAGAAGGAAAAAGATGTGCTCTTCTCATCCGACGCAGAAAATGCATCACTATCAATGATTAGGAACTCCCAGGGAATCCCCAGCTTAGTTAAGATACATGTTGGTAACATGGAAACCAGAGGAAAGGATGATGAGTGGGGCAGCATATAAATTTAATAAATAATAATCAGAACCTGCTGGTCTGATAGATCTCTTTTCAGACTCCAGATTCTGCCTGTACCCCACAGAATTCCCCTTTCAATTCTTCTACCAACACTCCTCTACCCACATCACATTTCAAAGGTCCTACCTCAGGTAACACGTAGGAGATGGCATTAATCAGCACATAGCTGCAGCGGACTCCCTGTTTCACCAGGCGACACAGTGTCTCCCGGCCTTCTAACCGTGGCTGACTGTCCACTACCACCACTCGGAAGGCACGATTGGCATGAGCCTCACAGAGTATGCGGCTCACCAAGGATGAGCTACCAAGCAAACATGAGCAGAGAGAAACAGATGAGGAACTTAACCCAGACAACATGTCACTTGGCCAACTTTCAGAAACCCAAGATGCCTTTGCTCTGAGACTTGGAAATCTCTGTCTTGTCTTCCCTTACTTTAACTCAAATATAAGGTGGTATTAGCCCCTCTAGGTAGATCAAATCAGGAAAGTTGAAACTGCTTTTGTTCAGACTAGCTATAACACAATTTTCCAAATCTGACCGTGCTATACCCCCACCCTCCACCCCTTTTAGAGTTCTGTGAGTTAGGCAGATGTCTATCTGAACTACTTCTGAATGTTCTCTCATTTTGGACTTAAAAAATGCTTTAGCTTCTTTTGCCCAGGTAACAATTCCTGCACATCTCCACCAAAGACATTTTATGCTTTACAGATAAAGTTTTCTCAACTGCCCTGATTGCTGGGAGCACAGCATAAGATCTAGGTAAGGTTATGAATTCCACAGAAGCTTCCCAGCAGGCAACTTATCATCTTTTCTGGCATTGCCACCCTGGCTAATATCACACATTTTTTGCACAACAGTATTATTGCTTTATCTTGCAAGCCTGCCAGACCCCTTTTTATCTTCATTCCCACCACCATTTCATATCCAGAACAGCAGCTTAGATTCTGAAAAGCATCATTCAGATAAGAACAATTTTGTCTTTCTTCCCCCCCCCCACAAGCACAACTCCATACCATCCATAGACAAGGATGACGTCGCCATCATTGATCTTCTCAAAGGCAAATTTGGAAATGGCTTCAGCTGCCAGAAAAATCTTCTCCCGCTCATATTTGTCAATTGTCTCCTGAAGTTGCTCCTTGGCCTATTCCCAAGAGACAGTTGGTCATGTGTGGTCAGTCCCCTCCCTGCATGCTCAGCGGGATTCCTTTCTTGTAGTTGATATAATGGATAAACTTCCTATAACTGTTTGATATGGGCATGTTATTTTTTGTTATTTTATTATTTTGAAATTGTCAGAAGATAAATGAATCTCTCTCACAGTATTTAAGCTGGATCTCCTCTTTATCCCTTGGAGAATAAGAAAAAAACTCTGGTTTCCCACCCTATGCTATTGAGCATGGCAATATATCTTTGAAAAATGAAAGAGATAAGCCTGAACAATAAATTTTGGGGCAATAACCGAAAAGACCAAAACATAGGCAAGATGAAGGGCTAGCGATCTATGCCAACCTGAACTTTTAATGACAAAAAGAGCAAAGTAGAAGAAAAAAGCCATCACCCTTGCACACCATGGATTGCATGCTACATTCAGGAATTTCAACCAGAGTTTGTAAGTTTGAACTCACCTTCTCTTCTCGTATGGTCCCTGGCAGTGAGGATATCTCTTTCTTAAGGAATTTGATGGCATTGCCCATGCTGGCAGAGAGGGGCCTGCACTGGGTCAGGAAGCTGCAGAAGAAAGGCAAACTCAGCTCAGCATCAAAGCACCTTTCCATCTCCAGATGTCCAAAGGGGGAAATCCCTTGTTCCTAATCACCTGATGTACGGTTTCAGCTTGTTTACAAGGTCCCGTGAAAGTTCCTCGTTGGCCGGAGTGGTATAGTCTCTAATCACCTGAAGGACAGGATAAAAGAGAAGCTGCAAACTTGCAAAGCTAAAACCCCAACATGAGCAGCAGTCCTAAATCTGCCAACTAGTTTCCCATGTTAGCCAATCAGAGGCTACTGTGGGAGCCCGTCTGAAAACAATGGAGACAACTGCTATCCTTTACAGTATTATTTGTGCTCACTAACAAAACATGTTCACTTAGACCTGAGAAGCTGCATATAGCCATTGATCTCTTCCGTCTCCAAGAATTTATTAAATTATTTTAAACTAGCTAAGCCTGCAGAATGGCTGGTATATTCATTTTCTACTCAGGAATTTTAGTCCAGGTGTCCCCAACCCCTGGACCGTGGCCCACTACCAGGCCTTGAGCTGATTGGAACTGGACTACCACGGCTGTGGCAGGGGAGCGTGCGCATCCTCACTTGCACAAGCAGTGAGCAAATTGTAATGTATGTTTCGAATTGTGAACCACCCAAAGTCATTTGCTGAGATGGGTAGCAATGGAAATGAAATAAATGTAAAAAAATCGCAGAAGGTGGCTGACACATTGCTTTGATGCTGTGGTCAGGAGGAGAACATAGATGCGTTAGTGTCATCATGTGACCGTACAGTCAAGAGGAATGGATCTTGATTCAAGAGAGACTATCTTACAGTCCACCACATTAGGTAAAACTAAGGAAGGGAAAGATGCTTCATACGTGTTTATCATAACTATTTGCTGTTTTTAGTACCAGTTCTTCCAATGGGAGGAGATCCAGACTGGTCTAAACAGCACTTCAGCAAACAACTCCCTTCTTCAGCAGTACCTGTTTGAAAACTTTTAGGAGTGCAATACACCGAGCATTGGAGCCATTGATGATGCCCTGAGAGTACTGGAGGCCAAGACGCACTACTGCAGGATGGATGGTGGAGACTGGGATGCTGCAGGTGAAAAAATTCTGGGTTATTACATATCATCTCAACACTCCCCAATAAAACTGACACTTCTTGCACACTGTCCATCGTACCAAAGCCCAACTACAAGTTACTTTCAAGAAAGAAAATATTACTCTTGTTCATCTTTTTCTCCCATCTTTTTGAAATACCATAAATGAGAGGGGATTTGAATAAAACTATAAAGAATCCAGAAATAGCTGAAGAACACTTTCAGAGGAAGAAAAGGGGAAGATAAACTTTAACCAAAGCACTTTGCCTTAAAACTTTGTACTAGGATGGAATCTAAGCATGGAAACTTCCCAAGGCAGGGCAGCAGGAACAGAGCCCCAATCTAACCAGGCCAATTTCACTGAGCACAGAACACGGCTCTTGGTTTTGTGACCTCTATTCTTCCTTCTTTTATCTAGGAATGGCCTAGAAAATGTCCTCCCAACATCATTTATGAACATTTCAAAGTGCCACGATTAAGCCCCTTTGGGTTCAGTGCTTTTCTCTTGGTTCCCAGGCACTCACCTCATCTGTTGTGTCAGCAACTCTTTGCGACTATATTGATGCAAGTGGGAGAAGAGACTAACTTTGGCACCATAATCTGGCCTCATAGGGACCTGCAGACATGGGGAGTAAGCCAGTCTAAGCATGGAAATTTGAAGGAAATTAAAAATAAATGTCAGAAACCAGCAAAAATATTGCAAATTGGAGTCCTGTGACTATGATGCTGCAAATGGTTGTAAAAGCTGGTTGTCAAGCGCCCAAAATCTGATCACATGACTTCAGCAGGATGTGGCTATTGTAACTTCAAAAACTGGCAGTAAGTACCTTTGAACGGTCATTTGTCATAAGTCAAGACCTACTTGCATAAGCTTATTTTGCCTTGGTGGCGCAGCGGACTAAAAACTTTTGTTAAAGTAGTACTTAACTGCCAGCTGCCTGCAATTACTGTGAGTTCAATTCTCACCAGGCTCAAGGTTGACTCAGCTTTCCATCCTTCCGAGGTAGGTAAAATGAGGACCCGGTTTGTGGGGGCAATAAGCTAACTTTGTATAAAATAGAACACCGCTTGGGGGGGAGGGCAAAAAGCCCTACTAAACAGGTATATACAAAAGTATGAAGGCTATTGCTTAATGCATTGTAAGCAGCCCTGAGTCTCCGGAGAAGGGTGGCATATAAACTGAACTAATAAATAAATAAAATAAATAAATTTACCTCCAACAGCCACTATTCCTCATGGGGACTGAAGTCTTACCTGCTGACGCTCCAACTTTTTGGCTAGCTTTTTTTGGGCAGCTGGATCATCCACCTGCACATGTTCTGGGAGCCTCTTGACCGCTGGGGAGAGAAGGGGGCCAAAGCTCAGAAGCTGAAGCTTTCTAGCTGGGTCACCAGCAACATTTCCTTCATGCCAGAGCCTTACCTGGCTGGGCTTCAGTGGGTCCTACCCGAGGCTTGGGAGGCACGGCTGTTTGAGTCGGATCGCCTTTCCGAGTTTGCTTCAACGCCCGGTCGGCCTCCTGCTTGGCCCGGCGCTCAGCTCGCAGCTCAGCCTTACTTTTGCCCGGGCCCGCCCGTTCGCCACCACAGGCTTTGTCAGGAGGACCCGGCGTGGTAGGTTCCGGCCCTAAACCCAAAGAAGATGATGATGATGATGATGACGAGGTAAGCGCCGTCCATTCCGCCCGGGAGCTCCGGCGACGCGTCTCCCTCTGCAGCTCAGACTGCGGGGAGGGGGGAAAAAAAGGGGGGGGGGAAAGACCTCCCAACCCTCCTTCTTCGCCCCTCTGGCACCTGGCGGAGGCAGCTGCCCAGCAGGCGCGGGACTGGGGTGGGCGAGCCCATCGGGGGGCGGCTTGGGCTCCTTCTCGGCTTCGCGGCGCTTTTTCTTCTGCTGCTTCTTCTCTTTCCGGAGCTGCAACTTGTCCTCCGCGCTGAGCGCCTGCACGGAAGGTAAGGAGGGAGCAAGAGGTTAGGGGGAAAAGAGAGAGCTGCCGTCTTCCCATAACCTGCCATCAGCCAGGGGCTCCTCCGATTCCACCACGCGCCCCCTTTCCCTCCCCCCCTCCTCCCCGTACCTGGCTGCGCTCCGGGGCCTCGCGGCTCCCCGGCTCCGCCATAGCCACTCCGCTGGCTCCGCCCTGACTTCAGGCGCTTCGGTAGCGACAGCGCCCCCTCCTGCTCAGAGCGGGATCGGCAGGGAATATCTCGCCTTCCCTCCGCTGTCCCGGGCATCCAGGTGGTTTAGCTTGTGGTCTCACGTAGGACGGACGGGGAGAAGTTGGTTGGGCCTCAGAGGGCCGAAGAGCCACCCCCTTCCTTTGTCCAGCGGGCTGTAGCGGGAAAAAACATCAACTCAGGAGCACAGCGCGAGGGGGGGGGTGGCAGCTCGCCTCGTGGGTGTCCGCGAACCGAAGGGCTAAACCCACCTCGCTGGACGGACAGCGTAGTGCGACTAGGTGAGGAGAGAAAGGGGCGGCTGGACACCCCAGATACCCTGTCCGGCCGCGGGGTAAAGCAGGCTCCGAGACTTCTTAGCGACCAATATTGCCCTCTGGGTATGCTTGTATCGCTTAACTCAGGGGTCTCCGACCTTGCCGACTTTAAACCTGGTGGACTTCAAGCCTGGTGAATTCCAATTGGTGGAATCCAATTTTTTTTACTAGAGGTTCTGTGGGCGTGGCGGGCGAAGGATACTGCAAAATCTCCATTCCCATCCCACTCTGGGGCCAGCCCGAGGTGGTATTTGCCGGTTCTCCAAAGTGCTCAAAATTTCCACTACCGGTTCGTCAGAACCTGCTGGATTTCACCTCTGGTTCCCGCAGGCAACTCTGCAACTGCGATGCGGAGGATAATTGCTGATAGGCAGCCAGTGTCTTTGCCTCGCTCCACACACCACGCAAATTGCTCAGGCTAATAACACATCACAATGGCTATGTTCGGGTATGATGGAGGACCAAGCGAGCTCTCATTTTGTTGCTCCCCACCACGTATTTATAATAGAAAGACAGCCGCCGCATTTCTACGATTTGCTGGAGGAGCCCGACCGACGCCGTTATAGCACATCTTCGGTGCGTGGTGCAATCTTAAATCGCGCTGATCACCCCGACCTCTCAGGCCCGAGATGAGACGCAGAGACCTGTCGGTCCCTGCAATCTTGCTTATTTGCAGCTCGCAAAACAGCTCGCAGGTGACTGGAACGGCTAACCTGATTTACCACGTACAGGCAAATCAAAAATAAATAAATAAATAGGGAAACCAGATGCGGGCTGCAAAAAAATCCAGACGGCCATTATTTGGCCGGGTTTTTGCAGGCCGGTAGCCCTGTTCTGTCCTCCCGTCCTTAATAGAGGCTTTGTTCTTTCCGCTGCTAAACCCACCTCGCTGGACGGACAGCGTAGTGCGACTAGGTGAGGAGGGAAAGGAGCGGCTGGACACCCCAGATACCCCGTCCGGCCGTGGGGTAAAGCAGACTCTGAGATTTCTTAGCGACCAATATTGCCCTCTGGTTATGCTTGTATCACTGAAGTCAGGGGTCTCCGGCCTTGGCGACTTTAAGCCTGTGGACTTCAACTCCCAGAATGCCCCAGCCAGCTTTGCTGGCTGGGGCATTCTGGGAGTTGAAGTCCACAGGCTTAAAGTCGCCAAGGCCGGAGACCCCTGGCTTAACTTCTACATGCCACGAGCTGTCTTTAGAGGAGGCGTGAAGGGGGCGGTTCAGCTCCTTTATTCAAAATTGGGGGGGGATTCCGAACGGTGGAGGTAAAACTGAACCTGGGCAAGACAGAGGCATTTTCGCTTTCAATATTATTTCCCTCTCTGGCTAGCACTTGGTCTTTCCTGGGTCAAACCATCCACAGAGAGAGGGCCGGGGGATGACCGGTGGCCCAAAAAAAAAGGGGTGTGTGTATGTGTGTAAGTTTTCTCCGGTCCTCCTCCTTCCGTTCCGCCCACAGTGGTGCCTCCCTCCCTCTCTCCGCCCGCAAGATGGCGGCTACGTCGGAGTCCAGTTCCGGCCCGAGTCGAAGGTAGCAGCAGCGGCGGCGGCGGCGGCGACAGCAGCTGCAGACGGAGGTGGAAGCGGCCATGCACTTCTCCATCCCCGAGACCGAGACCCGCGCCGGAGATGGCAGCAGCGCTGCGGCCTACGTGGCGAGTGTCACAAGCCCCTGGAGGCGGGGCGCAGAGTTCCCCGGGCTCCCCTTGGGATTAACATCTGGAAAGGGCATCGAAGTGCGATTTTGCACCCTGGGCGAGTCGCTCTGGTGCCTTTCGGCTGCTTCTCTGCAGCAACTGCAGGCGCCTTCGGGCTCTTCAGGAAAAGAGAGGGTGGGAAGAGCGGCCGGTTGGAATGGGTGGCTTCGCTTCTCCGCCGCAAAAACTCTGCTCAGTCTAGCTCTTCCTCCGCGCTGAGTCTTGAAGCCAGATTACAGCAGGCGCCAGGATGGGCCCCGGGCAGGGATGAAATCCAGCAGGTTCTGACAGATTCTGGAGAACCGGTAGCGGAAATTTTGAGCAGTTCCAAGAACCAGCAAAAACCACCTCTGGCTGGCCACAGAGTGGGGACGGAATGGGGATTTTGCGGTATCTTTCCCCTGGAGTGGGGAGGGAATGGGGATTTTGCAATATCCTTCCCCCGAAGTGAGGTGGGAATGGAGATATTGCAGTATCCTTCCCCTGGAGTGGGGAGGGAATGAGGATTTTACAGTATCCTTCCCCACTCCTGGGGGAGGGACTGGGGATTTTGCAATATCCTTCCCCCAGAAGTGGGGAGGGAATGGAAATTTTGCAATATCCTTCCCCTGCCACGCCCACCAAGCCACACCACGCCCACCAAGCCACGGCCACAGAACCGGTAGTAAAAAAAATTTGGATTTCACCACTGGCCCCGGGGAAGTTTTAGCCGCTGGCTGTGAGGCAGCCACAACCCAGATCTCGATCTCCTCTCTTTCCAACTCAAATTCAAATCAAATATATATATATTGTGGTCTTCCGGGTGCGCTTCAAGGTGTTGGTGACCACCTTTAAAGCGCTCCATGGCTTAGGGCCGGGGTACTTACGATACCGCCTACTGCCACCAATAGCCTCCCACCGGCCAGTACGCTCGCACAGAGTGGGCCTCCTCAGGGTGCCGTCCGCCAGACAATGTCGGCTGGCGACCCCCAGGGGGAGAGCCTTCTCTGTGACGGCGCCCACCCTCTGGAATAACCTTCCCCCAGAGTTACGTATAATAACAGACCTCCGGATTTTTCGTCGGGCCCTGAAAACCTATTTATTTCAACTAGCTGGGCTGGCTTGAGCTAAATTTTAAATTGATTTTAAATTGGGTTGTTTTAATTTACGGCCAGAATATTTAATTATTTTAATACTGTTTTTTAAATTTTGTATGCTTTGTTTTTACTTAGGCTGTGCACCGCCCTGAGTCCTATTTGGAGAAGGGCGGTATAGAAATTTAAACAAATAAATAAATAAATAAATAAATATGACTTAGGACTCCCCAAGGAGGATGCAAAGTCCATAACAAAGAGAAAAATGAGGAGGAAGTACAGTAGAGGCATTTTGGCACTGAAGAGCACTTCTTTCAATTAGAGAGTCCTTGAATTATTTTGGGTTTTTTTTTCAAAACAATTCATCTTTTGTTTCTGTTTAAAAGGCTTTGGCTGTTTCAGAGAAAGAATTATAAACACTGTTTTTAAGAAGAGATACTTTCTATTGACAGTCTTTTGGCGTTTCTTGCATAACCAGAAATTATGGATTCTATAACTACTCCTGGGTACTAAGTCCAGGAGCAAAGCTAGATATCCCTTTATTGTAGGTGCAATTCGTCTTTTCTTTCTATTTGATACAGAAAGGCTACCTTGAATAAAGTGCAAAGTTATAGAACTCAATAAATGGGCTCATACATCTTATCGATACCCACTTCTTTAACTTAAGGCTTGCACTTTATAGTACACTTATAACTACCATGTTATCAAATCGTGGTTACAAAATTTAGTTTAAATGTTATTGAAAGGCATATCTATTTCAGGCCTAGATGCTCCTTCGCTAAGGTTTACAACTTCTGCTTCATGCAGATTTTTTGTGTTGGGTGGTGAACAACCTAAGAGACTGTTTTTGTTTCAGCACCTGCAACTTTTTCTTATTTTAGGCAATCACCTCCCCTTGTAGAAATAAGGAGTAGTGTTAATGCCTTATAATTGATTCTTAAGGACCAGAAAGGGATTAGTGAAATCTTAGTTTAGAAGACCTGTTCCTTCTTTGAATCTTCATGCGGCTATGGAATTAGTACTATGCGATTCATACCAGATAGTCTGTTTCCCCGTTGTATCTCTGGGAATGGGATAGCTTAAGGGCTTTCTCATAAACAGATTCTCTAATGATGCCTTTTCCTTCTGTCCCCAACAGGCCTACAGCATTCATGTCAATGGTGTTCTGCACTGCCAGGTGCGATACAGCCAGCTGCTTGGTTTGCATGAACAGGTGAGGCATGGAGGCATGTATGTAAGAAATTGCCAGAATTGCTCTTTTGTGGAAAGGAGCAATATACTATAATATACTATATATACTATATTATAATATTATAATACTATTATAATAGTATAATAGTATTGTAGCAGTATTTCACTAAAAGCCTTTCTACTAGAGTAGTGTTTTATTAATTCAATTAATGTATGTAACTAAGAAAGGCAGTTTGGTCAAGTGGTTAAAGACCAGACTAGAAACCAGGAGATTGTTAGTTGTAGTCCCATTTTAGGCATAAAAGTTAGCTGGGTGGGGTGACCTTGGGTCATTCTCTCTCTCTCAACCCACAACATCAGCTTGGATGAATAGTCTAGTTGGTCAATTTCTGTCATAGTCAATGGTACAGCCACACGTTGATTTGAAAAAAGGAAAAACTACACTTGCAGAAAAACACTAGGAAGAAAAAATGGGTGTATATATCTCATTACCAAAATTCTGGTAGTAGCAAAATGGGATTTTGCTGCTTAAAGATGAACTCTGCTTTTCTTTCTGCAGCTAAGGAAGGAATATGGAGCTAATGTGGTACCAGCCTTTCCTCCAAAAAAGATTTTCACCCTCACCCCAGTGGAAGTGGAGCAGCGGCGGGAACAACTAGAAAAATATATGCAAGCTGGTAAGTTTTGTTGGGCAAATCAAGGAAAAATAGTAAGCATGCATTTGCAAGCAAGTGTTCTCTATGCACAGGGAGTGAGCTTTG